TAAAAACGGTGAATTAGCAAATTAAATATTATTTAGTTAAACTATTTATTATTATTATTTATTTATTATTTAGTACATATCATATTTATACTTCCACCTTGTGAATTCACCGATGCGATAAAGACGAAAATGTCTCTTACCTAATTATTTTCTAAAACGTAATTCAGTGTAGTGAGTAGTGGTGGATATACCTTTATTACAGAACACCATCCATTTAACAGTTACGTGGTTTCACATAAGTGTCAAAAATAAATATGAAAGTAATTTGCTTTATTTTTAATGATGTTTTTATAATATGTCGGAAAGAGAAATAAAATTATTAATATCGAAAATTATTAAATATTATGATTACTAATAGTATTTATTTTCGTGTTTGATTATAGTATTGTTCAGTGAATGTTTATCGTGTATACTAATGTAAAAAAATCGTGTAATGCAAATTATGAATTAGTAATATATTTCATATCATTTAATGCACTTTCATTCTTAATAATGTTTTAATATGAAAGATAAAAATAAAATAAAAGAAATGTAGTTTGCTGTTAATGTTATAAGCACTCAACGTGACCTATAAAAAATACCATTTCTTATAATCAACGAAGAAGAAAAAATGAGCTTTCGACACATTTGTTTTCTTTATCTCTTTGTATTTACTTTTGTAAATGCTATAGAAAGCATTGAATCACACATCATTAATTTTCACAGTTCACACGAAGCCATCAAGCTGAAATTTGACATGGATGTTTCTTATAAGATAATTAGGAAAAGTAAAGATGTTCTAATCCGACGTTAGATGATGAAGAGGTGAAATCGGGATTGCTCGATCATTAAGGTTATATCATTAACTCTTTTTTATGCATTAAGATGGTAATATTTTTTTAGATAGGTAAGACTATCCTTTTTCTTTTAACCAATCAGTCGTTTTCGATGAAACTTTTATGTAGTAGTGTTAGTTCATAATTTTTAAATACGACGTTAACAAATATAAAATCCATTGGAAAGATATGGCCAAAGAATATTTTAAAATGGCGACTTGGATGAAAAATATAATAATTATTTGAGTTATTTTTAGTATGATTCTAATTTTTAAAAAAAATTGTTGCGTATATTATTTCTTTCCTTAACTTTAATGACTTTTCTGTGTTAGATAAGTAATGGTATAATTATAAGAAGGTATGATTCATAAAATTTTTGTTTCTCTCTAAAAAAATATTTACTCTAGGTACCAGACCGGCTTTTAATAAATATTTTATGTGCCAGATAGCTACAAGTGTGGGCACATTTTGTACTAACCGACGTGCAATGTGTGAGTAAATATTTTTTAGTGAGAAGCAAAATTGATGTTCGTTTTTCGCACCTCAAAGAACCCCTAAATACGAAGTTTTATAGCAATTAAAAAATTAAAATTTTGTCCACTAAATATTTGCCTTGGCTGGAAATTTCGTCAACAACCACAAAACTTGTGATAACTTCAGAACGGCTGCACTGATCCACACAAAAATTAATAAGGATTTAGGGAATAAACCCAATCATCGTAAACAATTTAAAAATAAAGATATAAAATATGAATGGGTTAGTTTTTCTTAATTTCTTGCTTAATTTATTTTTTATTTGAAAAAATGTTATCCAAAAATTATTGGTGTCAGTTGAAAGAGTAGTAATTCAGCTTTCCAACTGTTATATTAAAGTTGAATTTGAAGAATATCCTGAGGTGTTATGAATGCTTCAGTTGACGGCCGGGAAAAAAACTCATCCAAGAAAATCAAGTACTAAAGGTTCTATTTTTTTTTATTTATATAACAATTCGTATTCAAAGAGCCCTAAAAAGGAATATAATTTGGATTTTCATAACAAACATTTACTTAGCCTATTTTACTAGAAGCACTTTTTGGTTTTTGTTATTTATGATACATTATAACTCATTTAATACAAAAAAAGAAAATAATTGGTGTATAATAACCTAAAAATCCGTGCAAAGCTAAGACATAAAAAAAAAAAAATTGATTGAAATTGGTGACCCACATACTGTATCTTCTCCTTGTAAGTCCAGAATTTTTTTATTGTTTATTTAAAGACGTTTTTGAATGAACTAGCGATATGCAAAAGGCTATGGACTCGGTTAAAGACTTCTACATTTTTTTTTTATCTTTTAGCAAAGATATTATTTTATTTGTGTGCCATCATTTATTCGAAAATATTTTTAAAATTCGGTATTCTTAAAAGCACTGGAACCGCAAGTACTCTATGCACTAAATCATCTGCCAAAACTGTATTGACCCAGAGAGTTTAGATTCGGCATAAAATCATGTACCAGATCATAGTTTTACCTTTGTTGAATACGACACATATATATTCCTAATGTTTCCTGTAAAATAAATAAAAATAGATTCGATTTCTCTTGAAATTAATCATCTCATATTATGACAATCTTCTTTCTAAAATAAATACATTGATAATAGCAAATACACAAACTGAATACCCGATAGAAAACATGTGCCCTAATAAACGCAACTGAATCGACCGGAAGGTCAAAGCCCTCTGCGGAAGTAAACATGAGGCCACCTTTGTTTTCATCAGGGTCCTAATCAAATTGGCACTGGTTTCATGTTTATTGGGTCTCTAAACATTACTTATATTTTGTTTTAATTCAATGGTATTATCCACGTTTTTTTTCTATTTGTATTATCTAATAGTATTATTTTTACATTATTTGATTACAATATTTAATATGAGGTTAAAATTTCTATCTTTTCTATTTTAACTTAAAAATTAAGTTTTGTTTATGTCCTATTTATTTTATAACATTCTAAATCAATCAGTGGACTAAGTGTTGGAGTGCTTGTTTGAAAATGCGATCAGCCCAATTTTATTTATTTAGATCAATTGATATAAAATTCTGTTAATTTTATAAATAAAAACTGAAGAAGTTATATGATCCCTTTTTAGCCTTTCATGAAAAGAGGACTCGTTCTTGAGAAAACTATAAGCCAACATGAAAGAGAACACCACGCAGGCAGAACGTCCAAATTAGTTGTGCCAGAATCAAAGAAAGTACCTCACTGCACTGATTGAGAAAGGAGAAAGAATCTAAACTAAAATCGATTAACCCCGTTTTTGTGCTCTTTGGGCATTTTTGAAGATCCTTATAGATCGATTAGTAACAAAGGGAGCTGATCTGGATGGCAGTGAACTCTGTCGAAGGTCAATTTATACATTTTCACCAACGTCAGCTGTCGCGTCCAATAATCTTTATTCACTTAAGGATTTATTTTGAAATAACAATCCTTTCAAATATCCCTATTTTAATTTTCAGCCTACAAATAGAATTTTAAAAAAAATATTGTATACACAATGTTCCATTAAATTACTTGGAACATTTTAAGTATTTATTTAGTTCTCTTGATAAAATTACATGGTTGATTCTGAGTACTTATAGATAGATAGACAGATAGAATTCTGTTTTTTGTAAAGAACAATTACAGGTGTGGATGGCTATTTTTTTTTTTTAATTTAACACAGTACCGACACATCACTAATTGTTGAACGGTGTTTTCCTTATCTTGTTTCCTTCATATATATATTTTTTTTAAGTACTGGAGCGTACTTTGTTTTTGTCCTCTCTATATATACAACAACAATACAATACAAGAATAAGATATAATAATACTATATTACTGGGATCATAATTAATATAATAAGATTTTAAGATGGACCCTATAACAGAAGCTAACTGGGAATTCCTGTATGCAAATTCACACTCATGAAGCATTACAAACGAAAATAGATTAAAGTTGCCCTGTTTATCCAAAAAAAGGGATCTAATTACAGCATTGTAGGATGATGAAAGTAAGAGTGCCAGTCTACGCTCATCATTCGCAATTTGGAATAATTATTTTAGAATCAAATTAGTAGTAAAATTACATATCGCTACTGTTAGTGAAAAAGATCGTATGTAAATTTTTTACATGTTTCTTTTCTTAGCGCTAAATGTGACATTTTGTAGTCTACTATAAGTGGCCTGCTAAATAGGGAAATAGTCGAGGTAGATAAAATATGAAATTATACATTAGCATAATAATGATTTATTAAAATCATAAAGAAATAATCCTTATTGGTGCTCTTTTGTAAAAAAAAATAATTACATTTTTACATACGATCTTTTGCATTAACAGTAGTGAGATTTACTCTAGGATTTTAAATCCTACAGTAAAATACTTTTACTTTAAGCTTACATATGTTCAAATCTGTAATTGCGGATGTTGCTTTTTAATTTATTTGTTCCACTCATAATAATAAAAATAATAGCAATTAGCGGATAGTCCGTGGTACAGACCTATTTTTATCAAATTATTAACATCCGGCTGACACTTCGTAAATAGCTTCATCTCATCGTAACTTATAAATATTTTACTTACGAAAATTCTCGGAATTGGGGCGTTTTCAATTTGGAGGTCGGCAAACTTTGTCTATTTAATTAAGAACTAAAAACTAGTAAATATTAATTTACTTTCCACTTTAATCGTATGATAACTTGAGCACAAAGTCAAGAAAAAAGGTGGCCTTCAAAAATATTGAGCCTTTTATCGTGACCTACACTCCCAAATTGTCAAAATGACGAGGTTATATAGATGGAAAGAAAATGGGTATTTACGAGTTTTTAGTACCTAATTAAATAGACATAGTTTGCCGACCTCCAAATTGAAAACGCCCCTATTCCAAGATCTTTCGTAAATAAAATGTTTGTAGATTATGATGAGATAAAACAATTTACGAAGTTTGAGCCGGATGTTAATAATTTGATAAAAAGGGGTCTGTATCACGGAGTAATAGTTTTTACCACTATTTATATTTTTTTTTTTTTTTTCAATTCTTGTTCTCTTTGCTAAAAGTAGATACCTACTACTTTAAGAGTAGTAGATAAAACCTAGTAATCGTTTGATCACATCTTCAAATACTTTCTGTCTTTGAAGAAGGTATAACCCGGATCCTGGTATCAGCTGATGGTAAGGACCTTGACAGAGCTGTTTACTCCTGGTCGCCGACCTAGGAGACAGCAGCGCGCAACCTCCTCGAGATCCGAATGGTATAGTGTGCCCTGGAGGGGAGTGAAGGTGAATGGAGGCGTAGATGGGAGGCTAAGGAGCGCATGCCCGCCTGTATCGAGCCCCCTCTGAGAGAATACTTCGCCTCCTTACTCCACATCGATCTGACGGACGGACCCCCAGGGGGTCGGTTGTTCTTGTACACTTCCGGATTGGGGAGGGAGGAGGGGTAGAGAAGTGCTTCATCTATATTTGGGTGATGGAGTTAAAGAGAAAATGTTGCCAACAAAATGACCCTCCGAGTGGTAATAGGTTCTTCTCACGGATCCTTTTAAGGATAGAAAATAAATAACACTGGCAAATGGAAGTTATAGTTCCTAAATAACTGGTTGGCACTTCGAAAGTTGTTAGGTAAGATCCTGAACAGAATGGTAAAAGCTAAAATCCATCAATGAAATAACAAATCTTTCCCGATTCTAAGGTCTTACTTACAGTATTTGTTATATGCCACTAATCAGTTATTTTTTCTGGAAAAATTGACGTTAAATAGACTTTGTATTAAACAAAGGTCGTAGGAGAAGGTTGGGGTTGTATGTTATATACTTTACAGAACATGATTATGAACGTTTTGGAGATTTCTAATATTTAGGGGTTTCGAAAATAAGAATTTAAAAAGTTGTATATATTATCATCAATATAATTGATGTGTTATTTTGAATATTCAACCATCTAATCCATTTTGTATGAGGCACGTAAAACTTTAAGAACAAGAGATAATTCAAAAACCATATCAACATTCCGAGATTTTGGCCAAATTTATCCAAACTATAATATGTGTGTGTTTATTTTTCCGCTACATTTCTCTATCATCCTTGGATTCAAATGAGTTAAAATTGTCTAAACAATGCCGCAAAAGTTTGAAGAAATTTCAGTGTGTCTAAACTTATTGTCGCGATTTCCTAAATTTTTAAAATTGTCTGCACCTCTACAGAACTTCCCCACCGCCAACCCAATAAGGTTAAAAATTAGTATGCAAATCGAGTTAGTCTTGAAAAAGTACCTATTGTATTTACATAATGCTCCCATCATTTCATCGAGGTTTTTAAGGTTTTACGCAGCTATGTAGCCACTCCAAATTGAGTCAAAGGGTTGAAACATCGTTGATGTAGAAGTACCTCAACTTTCTTCCCAATAGCCGCGACTTTTTTCTCCATCTGCAACATTTTTTCGCATGTTTAAGATTTTTCACACTTCTAAAGCACTTCAAGTTGAAAACTTTCTAAATTTAGTTGGTCTAAGAGAATTGATTTTTGAGTATCTCAACTCTTTTTTTTCCACTCGGCCTTTTTGAGAAATTAAATTCGGAAAGAAGTCAGAAAATAATGAAACACAGAACATGACATAGAAATCCCGCCATTCAATTGGTTTTAAAATTCTATTGTATTTTCTCAGGTTAGCTTTAAGAAAATAATTTAATGGCTATTCAGTTTTTTATGTCTCGATAAATATTTTGATAATTATTAATATTATAATGTAATTTGACTAATAGTTTCAAGAATTTACAGAGTAGTCATTGATAAACAATGGGGTTGACATTGCTATCATAATTATCTTTTAAGCCCCAATAATTCTTGAATTTAATCATGGTGAGGTATTATTCGAAATATTTCAAGGATTGCTATTAAAACAATTTCATAAAAAAAGTCCCAACTTGCACACATTGTCAAGTACCCAGAACAGTAAAGCATATATTATTAGAATGTAGAAGGTACACTGATATAAGGAAAAATTTACAAATGGGAACGGAAATTAAAGAAATCCTGCAAGATGAGGAAAACGGGATAGAAAAACTGCTAAAATATTTAAAGGATATTGACTTTTACCAACGAATATTAAATGGAAACATTAAGCCAGTGCCCCTTAAGGGTAGAGGCTAAGTAAACAAATAAAAAAATCCATAATATAATCAAATTATTTAAGAAAAAACGAGAATAGTCTATTGTTCCGTTGTGCATTCCGCTTTATATGTTCATGTTTGTTTATTGTTAAGAAATAATTAGTTCATTAAATTTTAAATATTTTTCATAGAAGGCTGTGTAATTAATTGTTAAATTTTTTTTCGAAAAAAAAGATATTTGATTTACTATTATTAAATTTCTTGAATAATAATAATAAAAGATTTGGTGAACACAGCTGTTTTATGTCGATTCCACTTAAATGCCTTTCCACCGAACCTCATGAGAAGTCAAATTCGTGAGGTGGGATTTCACACAATCCTCCCGCCTACGCCTCGGCCTTCAATGTGTACGTTTGCCTGTCGGTCGACCGGCAAATTCGATCATTAATCAACCTAATAAATATCTTTCATAAGATCAGATTACATCAAATAGCATCAGTCTATTTTATAGATTGTTTTATTTTTTAATGTGTGTACCTTACTCTTCTATTATTTGTCTATATATCTAATTTTTTTATTACATATGAATAAAAAAATATTTAAAAGCAAACGAAATTCAATATATGTATATAAATTGATCAATATATACATTATATTGATTTTTGTTTGCTTTTATATCTTATTTAATACATATGTAATAAAAAAAAATTAAAAGTTTGCAATTATCAATATCCATTTGATGATTAAAAAATTGAACTAAAAATAAACAAATATGCAATAATTTATTAAAGAACAAAAATGTAATGTCGAACCAGCTACAAAATACCTCGAAAATCCACTGTATTGGTAGCTTTTTAAATATTTTCTTCCATATATGAAGCACAGATTATCTCTTGGCCTGTTTGCTTAGGACTTGCGGAGGATTTCTCGACTCAGAGAGTCTCGTTGCAATATTAAACGTTTTTCGGATATAAAGACAAACATTTACTTAGGATGGAAGTGGAAATGGAAAATTTTATACGAAAATAGATCAAAAATATATATTTTTTTAATGATGTTTCATATATTTTTGGTAATGCAAAAACTGAAGAAGAAAAAAAGGTATTCTTAGTCTAGAAAATATTTCTTTGAATTTTCTTATTTCCTGAAGAACTGAAATATTTTAGAAATGTGTTAATTATAGTTGGGCAAAGGCAATAATGTGATATATCTTCAATATTCTCTATTTCTGTTCGCAATAATTTAATATTTGTTTCAAAATCAATTTTTTTGAGTTGTCCATTGATGATGTATATGTTTTTTATAGTGCAGTAGCGGATCCAGGATTTAATTTTGGCGGTTTAATTATTTTTTTTATTATCATAATTACTCTGGAAGAAAAAAATGATACTCCGTTATTTATACCTTAATGGCCACAAGAAAAAAAAAATATATCAGCAGAATTCATAGATCCGCCAGCGGTGTAGTAAATAAATGAGATTTAAATTCAATTTTCTCTCAACTCAAAAAATGTTACTTATCTTTATCCGCTTGAGCTTTCAACTACATAATTTAATTAGTGTTTGATAAATTTCTTTCTTGATACTAGATTTTTAGTTGTGTTAACAATGGACTAGGAGAAAACAATGGAAGGAGAGCTTATGAATGCTTTAGTAAAAACAAAAAAACTCTAATCAAATGAGGTCCAAAAACTCATATTTTTTAATTTAAAAAAATCGTATTTGAGATTTTTAAATGTTTACTGGACCTACATTACTGGAACCGTCTTTTGATTATTGTGATTTGAGATGCGATATAATTCATCAAATACTACAGGCAACATTTTTTTTCTTATTTTATTAAATATTTTACTTATTCAATGTATTATTACGTTCATATTTGTCTACAATGGAGTTCATCAGACCGAATGGTATGACAACAGTTTCTTAACAGTGTATGAATATACCAACTACCGTTCGACCACAAAATAATGTTATCTTTAACCGCTTAGCCACTAATCCATCTGTCGATTCATACACCTCTCGTTCCTTCGATGGAAAGCTTTTATAATATCGATTTATCGGAAAGTAGTCCGGTATTTCTTATTAGGTTAGGAATCTAGGACCAATCTAGTATTTCTTATTAGTTGAGGACCTATCTACCAATATATTTACTTTTATTATTATGGTTTGTTTGTTTGATTAATCAGCTCTCGCATTTGGCTCGAATTATGGTATTTCTTAATCGATTTTTTTTTTTATCGCCGAAATATAGATTATTGCCTAGGAGCAAATTTAATTGTACCGCCCCTTTTCGTCCTTTCTTTCCTTAATAAAAGACAATGGTTTTATAAGTATTTTAAGTAATATAATTCCAAACAGATATGATGATCTCATATAATTAGTTCATTTTATTTACTGAATTAAAGTCAAAATCAAAAGGTTCAACAAATTAAATTAACTTAAATTTGAAATTCCTATCGAACTTGTCCGCTTAATAAATTCTGCTGCCCGATTCAAAGTCCCTCTTAGCCTCACTTAATTTTGACCTTGTTATTTGGTTTAACTAAGTAATTATGCCGTTAAATCTTTTAAATCATTTTTTTTTTTTTTTAAATAATATTATGTTCTATTGTAAACCCACAAAATAGTATAATATAATAAAACAAAATATAAAAAAATATAAGTAATGATAATGAAATTACTGAAACTTGGTATATAATAACGGCAATTAAGAAGTTGGTTACTGAAATATTATGATAATATACATATTATAATAATATTAAAATAAACTTACATAAGAAGAAAGTATTTAAGGCAATGTGGATTTAATATAATTTATGTAAATAAAAATTCTCTCATTTTATAATAAATCATTTTAGCTAATAATATTTTTAGAAATTTCTTTAAGTAGGCTGAAATCAGGAGACAAAAAAAGGAAATATATACCCTCTCCGAAAAAAATCGGTTTATAAATCTTATAAAATGTTTTGTTAATCATATAAAATTTTGTCAGGAACAAGTTTTGTAACTACAGTTCTTACATAATTTTTTTTTGTTGAAAAATGAATGAAAATTTTATTTATACACACACTTTATTTATATTGTAGAGACTATAATCCGAGTGCTGAGGCCGAAAAGTTGGTCTGATTTGAAGAAAGTTTTTGACCGTGGATTCCGAAAGTATTCCCACAATAGACCTCAAATATGGGCGTATGCTATCCTAGATAGGATGCAATAAAATTTTATGAGTCATCATAGTCACTTTTTTTCGGGTTTTCGCTAAGGTCAGGAAAATTATCCATCGCATCGACAAAGGCGTTGTATACAAAATTAAATCTGATAAAATTTGCAATATGATTGATTAAATGCTTTCTTTCGTTATTTCGCTTAGTTCCCGAGATATCCATCCTCAACTATCCCTAATGTGGAAAAATAAATTTGTTACCTCATGTTTTTTTTTCACTATATTTAACTAGCCAACTCTTGATTTCTTCGTTTCACGATTATGTTACGGGGAAGAAAGTTTTTAATAATTAAATTTTCTTTTCCAAACATGAGGTAACAAATTTTTTTTTCCACATAGCGATAGTTGAGGACGGATATCTCGGAAACTAAGCGAGATAGCCAAAAAAATGTATATAACCAATCGCATTGAAAATTTCATCAGCTTTAATTTTGTATAGAACGTCTTTGTCGATGTGATGGATAGTTTTCCTGACATAAGCGAAAGCCTGACTTTGATGACCCATAAAATTTTATTGCATCCTATCTAGGGTAGTAGACGCACATATTTGCGTTCTATAGTAAGAATACTTTCGGAATCCATGGTCAAAAACTTTCTTCAAATCAGACGATCCTATCGGCCTCAGCTCCCGGACTACTGCGTGTACCCCAGGAGGGGTTACTTATCATCATATGCATATTATTTCTAATTATTGTTTATTATGTGATGTGGGGAAAAACAACTTAAATTATAAATTAAATTCTTTATATTAATAAAATAATTTAATTTTAATCTTATAAAATTATTTTCTTTTGGATATCGTGGGGTTCCTTCAGCCCCAAAGCTTTCTCCCCTCCCGCTTACTACCCCATTGCTTCCATATACCACTTCTACAAAAGAGTCATGCATTTTAGTATTCTGAAATATATTATATTATAGTAACACACACCCCTTCGAACTCAAAATTTAATTAAATGTATTCGTTCATCAGTGATAATATTTTACTATTCTATTACATTAAAGGAAAACTCCCCGTAGTGAAATTTCCTGCTAAATGACAACTTAGGCGTTGTTTTCATCACCAGTTTGTTCCCTGGATATTTTCCAAGTTTTAATGGCGCTCAAAGTGTTAAGATGAAACTGCTGTTGGCAACGTGAATTAAGGATCTTAAGTGCTTAACAGTTAAAACAGAGCTAACATATATGAGATTTGTTGAAGCCAATTTACGAGGTTCTGCAAAATGGTGCCAAGTTAAGCACTCAAAGACTTAAAAGCTTATAGCTAATTTTTGGCGTTCAGTATGTGTCGGGTGCTCTTTTGTTTCAACGTGAATAATAATATTTAAAACATAATAATGACAGAAAAATGACGTGGGGCCCACATATAATCAAAAAACGAAAAACTTTAAATCAAAGATTAAGAATTCTTAGTTCACTTCTTTCAAAAAATTCAAAACTAAAACTTAGACAGAAATTGAACACATACAATTACTTACTAAAACCTATTTGGACTTACGCATCACAGATATTTGGAACTGCTAAAAAGACTCACTTAAACAAACTTCAAATCTTTCAAGCAAAAACATTCAGAACAATTACAAAAGCACCTTGGTACGTTAGCAACATAACCTTACATACTGACCTCCATATGCCGACTGTTAACGAACACATACGTATTCATTACAAACGATTCCATGACAACTTACAAGGACATACTAATACACTTATAAATGACATGGCCACTACGAATATGCCCGGTAACGTCTGTAGGAGACTGAAGAGGAGCTGGATGAGGGACCTCCTCGCCTAATGTGGATATCACGCCGAGTGAGGTGCCGCTGGGCACTGATCCTCCTCATGCCTTTCATGACAATTCTATTAATCAATCGATCTCACATTCACTGGTTGTCATTAGCATTATGACAGGTGTGAATAAAACATTAAAGCTAAAAAAAAAAAAAAAAAACATAATAACGTTCGATGATTGCACGTTATTGAGTCTCCTGCATTATCTTTTAACCTTATCTTTCTCTCGGAAAAAATATTGTACTTAATACTTTATTTTTCAAAAAGCTTAAACGTTTGTTCTTTCTTTTTAAAAAATGTGTGAGAACATTAAACACACGCAATGAACAGGTAGAACGATAATAGTTAATTAAATTTAAACATTAAATGTTTTGGCCAGTAGGAGGAAATGAAGTAATTTCGCGCTGTAGTTTCTTTAAATTTTTTAGTGGACCTAAGATACTCATATTTTTATATTTATTTCGTGTTTTTCAAGGAATATTAATGTTAACACAGAAAACAATTATTACGGTTAACATGAATCTAGGAGAATAAATACTTAGCACCAATATGGATCGCTGTAAATAAATAAGGATACTAAATTTGTCGTTCTCAACATTTACAACAGTGGTTTGAAAAATAAAAAATCAAATTCAACAGTGAAAAATCTCTTTCATGCTCCGACATGACACCCATACTCCTGTTTACATAAACAACGTCTCCTCCCTCCTCCGATTCAACAGACTGGCACAGTTCATCAATTAAGACTCACGTTCGACAGGAGGGTGACGTAGGGCCACATTTAAAAAAATAAGCGTCTTACCCTCAACACCTTATTATGTCAGTACCAAAACATTACAGACAGCCTTACGAATGATCACAGTGCAAGATCACGTTCGGACCTTTAATCTAAAATATTTCATGACAAACTTCACTGACATTCCAACCAGGCTCTGGCTCCGTTTGTGGACCTCTATAGAGTTATTCTATGACGATAAAAAAGTATAAAATATTTATATTGAGAACTCATCGGAGGTGCTCCAAAAATTTGCGGAAATAAACGAATATAAAACAATTATTTTGGGAGCCAAACGCTCAACGGTACTCGTAAAATATAAAACAATGACCCTCGGGACCAGAGGTCACCCCAATCATTCTACGGGGTTAAAAATGTACAAAATTATATGTAGAGAGCCCATCAGAGGGGCCCCAAAAATTTACGGAAAAAAACAAATACAAAGCAATTACTTTTGGGGTACTAGAAAATATGGAACAATGATTTTGGAGCCTCGGTGGCCCTCGACGACTGGCGACCTGGCCTGATTCCAACTAACTTAACCCAAACATGACCGCATCACATGTGCCAGAAAACACCCACAAAGGCTGAAAAGGAGCTGGTTAAGAGATCTCGTGGATTAATTGTTATTTCTAGTTAGGAGTAAGTGCCGATGCGTACCGATCTCCCTCATGCCTGGCATACCGATTGTGTCAATTAACATCTCATCCTCTTATTTTCTTAGGCTTAGTGCAGGTATAGATATGAAAATAAAAGTTTTAAAAATATTTCGTTTCAGCTGATAATTTATTTTTTCAATTTTATTGTTTTGTAATAATGTTAAATCCCGATCGGTAATAATGTTTCGTGCTGCGGCGAAACGAAGCCTGTAACTAATCGCTGATGTTTTTCCTTATATCCGGTTCTCATTGTAAACTTTCTCCCTCAGGAAGTGGCAGAAATGTTTCAAAAAGTGGCATAACTGTGATTAATTAGTTTCCTGTCTATCACGTTGAAGTGGTTTTTTTTTCTGTTGTTACAGTCATCGATAGTATCGAGAAAATCGAAGGGGGAAATCAAATTGTTTATGTTATATCACTTATTTACCTAGAACGGTATGCCATTATTTTTTTTCTCTTCTACATTACCGGTTAGATTAGAGGTGCCCAGAAAGGGTTTTATGGCGCAAGTTGCGCCATAAAAATTAATGAGAAGGGCACTTTTTGATGGGGCTTTCAATTTTTGAAGGGGGCCACATTTCGAATGTGGGTTATGAATTTTCAAAATGAAAATTTTCAAATAAAAAGACAAGTGGAATCATGGAACAGACCACAGGATGTGTAATAGTATATAATCTACAAATATTAAAATTATACTTTCGTTTGCACTTTTTTAAGAAGAATGGAGAATAAAATATCTTGGGAGAGGTGGGAGAAGGCTTATGTGCCATCAGTCTTGGGATAATGTTCACCCCATGGTTTAGATATTGTTTATAGAGGGCATGGTAGGCAAACTGATAAAAGCGTTTATAAAACAGAAGTACGATGCCCCCAGCAATCTATACGTCCTCATAAGTAGTTATCATGCCAGCGCAGATTTGTTAAGGTCAGAGGTTAGCTATATGAAACTGAAGTTCCATGAGAGGGATGCCCTCAGGGATCAGGGCCCTTGGTCCGACTCTATGAAGCTAGTGTTGATGAGTTGCTGGGTGTGCTCGGAAATGAGCGGTTCCCTGCTACGGCTTACGTCGATGACTTGGCGGCAGTGGTAGCGTCAAACAGCAGAGCCGGAAAAGCTACAAGCAGAGCGGTGCGCCTATCTGGTCGGGCAATGGTGTGAGGAGATGAAGTTAACGAATCGGCCGCCATCAAAGAACCAGGCGATCCCTTGGTGAAAGGGAAGACGGATTAGGGGCACCCCTATCAATCTGTGTATACAAGGATCGAGAATACGTCCAAGTGAGGTGGTCACCTCCTTGGGATAGGTTTGGAAGAGGATTTATTATGACCCCCTCATTTGGATACTTAGGAAGTAGGGTGGCCTAAGCCTTGAATGGACTTAGTCGCCTAGGGGGTGCATTTTGGGGCCTCAGATACCAGCTACGAGGATCATTTACGATGAATGATAGTGGGTATTCTGAGGTACGGCCTCTCTGCGTGCGTCTCCAGAATACTCTCACACGTCAGAGTCGCAGATTGGCGACAATTCAAGTACGGCTCTGTTGCGAGTCACAAATATACGAAGTGTGTCTCACGTGGCGGTGCTGCTATCTTAGCAGGAGGGGTCCTCTCGACCTTTCTCTGCGAGAAGACTCCGCTAATATTTTAAGTTTTACAAAAGAGAGAAGGTCAGTCAGGTCTCCGGAGAATATCCGGGGAGGATTGCAAAAGACAGAAAATGGAGAGGATTAATCCGGGACGAGCACCATAGATGAGTGGATTCGGCGGTGGGTAAAACGTTGAAAGGTGCAACTTTAAGAAAATATATTTCCCACGTCCGTAAGCTCGCTTGAAAGCTAAGTGGGTTCTCCCGACTACTGGGTCTCTCAATTCCTTAATGGGCATGGGTTTCTTTAAGTTACATAGTTTTGGAAAAGACATAGATCCCTATGCCCACTTGCGGGAGTACGGAGACGCTGAGAATATTATCGTCAAACTGCACAGCCTTTGATGGACTAAGGGCCGAATGATAAGAAAAATGGGAATATATGGCTCTCACGAAGATTGAATTTCCTGAGTTAGTAACGGAGCAGAACTACCGTATTACAAAGATTTTGTGTACGGGTGGAAAGCTGCTCTGGGATCCCTCCACTTTATTAGAAGGAACCTGCTAATAGAAGTACCACCAGGGTATATATTGAAAATAAGGAAAAAAATAAGAAGACAAAACAAATTGAAAATTATTTGTGGTTTTAATAGCAGGAATGGCTGCAGTGTGTGATATGCCATCCCTGCAAAAAATCCGTGTAGCCGAAAGGCAAGAAGGGAGGCATAAATTTATAAAGCGTTTACTGTTTGTATTCTTGAAGAGAGCCTAGGTTCGAATCTATACTGAACAGATTTGTTCCTATCTCTACTATAACTCCTTCTATTTCAGAAATAGTGATGTAGGGGATAACAAAGAATGTGTATAAAAAAATTATTAGTAATGAACAAACAATGCAGGAGCGTTTTAATTCAATAACCCAGTATCGACTATTTTAAAAAGTCATTATTAATATTTCTCAATATTATGTAATTATTTTCTATGTTTTATTAAATTAATGAGGCAATCATAAGTCAGAATGATTCATCACATTAGATTTATTATTATTGCTGTAAGATATGACCATTGAATCCATATAATATTCTTTTTTTTTTTTTTTTCTTTTTTATTGTTCTGTTCTTACAATGGTGATCTGAAGATTTCCAGTTTTATTTACTTGTGTTATTATATAAATTGGTTTCTCAGTCATTATTGAATTTATATTTTGGATAACAATGAGAAATGAATAGTATGTCATTCATTGTGTTGCATTTTAAGGAATGATTTCCTGAGGATGGGAGAGGGTTTAAAACATTTAAATTGTGTATGTTTAGTTGATCCTGATGTCATTAACATATTTTCCTCATACTTATGGGCTTTTTTGCTAGTGTCTAGTTAAAGCCACCTGAAAAATTTGACATCACCAGTGATCACAAAAGTTCTCAATTTCATGAGTGTAATATCACTGTGTTAGTATACTGTTGTAGTTGCATTTCTTTTACATACCGTTGCTACTGAAACTTGGTGGGTGCAACAAGTTTCAAAAGTGGTCCATAATCAAGAGGGAGGAGGGGAACCTTATTATCACTAGAGACCACGTTTTTTTTATGTAATTATTATCCTAATTATGTAATAATAAGGAAGGCCACTATATTGTTTAATACTTTACTGCTAGTATTTTATTTTGTTAAGCATGCATATAAATTTTATTTTCATATTGTCATACTCATAGTTGAAAAATTAAAATGGAGGAAAAGAAAAAAAAATTGACATATTCCATATAACTAAATATTAATTAACACCAGACATGGTATTTATGAAAGCCAATAAAAAACTCTCTGTTATGTAAGTTCTCTGCCTATGATTGAGGAACAGATTTAAGGAAGCTCATATAGTTTGTGGAATACTGAGACCTTTGAGAGACAGAAGGTATCTGCAATAGTTCTCTATTTTCATGTGGCATACTCTTTTTTTCCTTACATACATTAGTGAAGTACTATGTTTTTGTGCAATAGTCTGTAGAGGCATATTGGAGAAGATGACTTATATTATAACTATTATCGAACATTTTTTTATTTAAGTACAAGACAATGATAAATGCTGAGGACCTACAACTTTGTGGACTATGAAAACATATTTTCAGATTGTGACCATAACACAGCCCTAAGATATAATTTCTTAGACTTTATATGTCTATATGCTATATTTATATATACTACTTAGACAATATACAAAATATGTGTCTGTGAAGTACTCTGTGCAGTTGTTGGCTCTTTCTTAAGTTTCATTAGGGAAAAAAACAGACTTTTGTGATTGAGGAATATAAGGACTTCATTTGGTTTCATTATATTTAACAAAAATGTTCCCCATACATGACTTGTTTTTTGTATCAAAAGAAAACAGACTTATGACTTCATGTTGAACATTCATTGGGATGCTGAATCTAAATCTTTTTTCCGTAGGTCATCTTCTTGTCGTACTGTTCGTATTTAGCTTGTAGCCTTTTGCTTCTTAAAAATTTAACTTTAAATTATTTTTTTTTAAGTGCTGTTACTTATGAAATTGATTAGACTTTTAATTATCTGACTGAAAAATGTTATATTAATCAAGTAATTCATAACTAATAATTGATATATTTTTTCCAGAACGAGGACTCGGATGACGATGAGGAGCCCGAAGAAGAGCCACCGGCAGATAGTAACCCTTGGCAGCGGACAGGTAGTCTAGTGCTCTCGGAAGCAGAGATTCAACACTACTGTGACACGACACTTGAGTGTAGGCCGGCCCCCCAATCTCAGAATCAGTCTCAATGTTGCATCCTTTAGCTCTGTTTGCCTTTGATAATCAGCATTTCTTTTTACATTCTTTCTACTTCATTACCATTCACTTCCACCTGTAGTAAATGATCAGAACTTCATCCTTACAAAAAAAAATTTTAAATTCTTTGCTGTGTAATCTCTTCTGTTATACTAATAAAGTACTTCAGAAATGGCCCTTAGTGGAGTAAATTCTTTAAATTTTCTTTTAAATATATTTTTTATTGTTTTATAATATTATTGTTTTTCTCCTTATATATTTTTTCCCAGAGTATACAGAATAATATCATTGGTAAAAAATATTATTACTTCATTTTTCGTATAATTATTTTTTTTTTAATTCCTAATTGATTCAGCCTTCTTTCTCCCTTGAATTTTTAAATTGAAGCATGCACTCTTTTTGTCACACATAGTACCTTAACACTCTTAAGTGTCATATTCAAATATTTTCTTATATTGTATGATATATATTTTTTTTTTTTTTGTTACTAGCATGTAAATGTTTTTATTACCACATATTATCTGACTGTTAGATTAGGATATTTTTTGTTTTATAAAATTAATTATTGTTTATAAAGTCACTAAAACCAAATTTAAACTAAAAAAATAAATAAAATAAAAATGAAAAAATATTTTAGACTGATAAATATAATTAAAGGATACGTCTTTGACTTGCGTTACCAGTCTTGCTTGTTTCAGAATATCTTTTCTATAGTAATTCCGTAATTATCTTCAAAATGCTGCCTTAAAAACAAAGACTAATAAGCCAAATCCAGAATACTAATTATTTATTAGATATATTTATTAAACCTATGTCTTAGACATTATTAGAGTAATAAATCCTAATATTATTTTTATTTGACCACTTCAAGTGGAATTCATTTTTTGATCTTATGTAAAAATATAAAAATATTTCCTAAACCTGATGTAAATAACTTTAATTTATATTCTTGTTTAGTTACTGTACTGTATACAAGCTTTTTGCTGCTTTCGCACTAAAAATTTGTGATAATATTATGTTTTAGATTGCCACTTTTGTAATATAGTTTTTCCAACAGGTTTTATGTATAACTGAATTTACTTTTAAGTTCATTTTGTGTATTTTTACTTTGTAAAAGAATTATTGATAAGTGTATATAAGCATGAAAATTAGAAGAGATAGTTTTGAAGAGGGTCGATACAAAGATCTGATTTAGTTATTAGTTTTATTAAGTCTGTAATGTCATAGAGTTACTAGATGTCTTCATTATTTTTTTTTTCTTGCATGTGAAAAGTTTGCGATGTATTTTGTTCAATTATATGATTTTAGTGTAAAAAAAAGTTTTAATCACATGTTTTGTTACTTTTATAAATTTACCCAATAAATAGTATCCCATAAGTTTTTTTTTTTTATAATTATTTTCAATTGAACGTGCATGTCCTAGATATATTACTATCATTGCTAAATAATTTATTGAAATACCTCTATTTTACTAACAATTTAAATGAAAAATACAGATTATCTATCAGCAATTAATGGTGGACATCGCTTACATAAGTTATTTAGCTTAAATAATGATCCCTAAACCAGATATCAATGGATGATGAGGTTTGGTTTTGTTGAAGAGTTTTATTTATTAATTATCTGCTTGTCGTTTGATTCATAATTTATTTTTTCTTTCAGATGTCAGATCTAGGTGAAAAATTGATGGATCACAAATTCATGTGAATTTCTTTAATTGTAAGAGAAGAAAAAATAAAATCAAAGGATTGCTTCCCATCTGATTCTTCTAATAAAAGCTTCAATGTTCTACCATTGAAATGCTATAATACTACAAACATTCTAACACCTTGTGTGGATTTTATTGTGAAAAATCATTAACAATTACTGATTTATCTAGATAGCATTTTTTTTAAAACCTGAAGGATGTGTGATAAGTATCCAGTGGCAACCATGGTATTTATATGAGATTTGTGGCTATTATTTGAATTTAGCTGAGTCTATGGGTTTTGGCAAAAACTATAAATAGTTTTAAAACAAGAAATAGTAAAGTTTCCTTGGACTCTACCAGCTTTTAATCTCATATTAAATTCTTAAAAAAACAATTCGTCCACTCTTGATCTTTTGACTTACGGATGTCAGAGTTTTCAAACCTTCTGCTTTTTTATTGAATTTTATTGAAATTGTATGAGTTAAACAATTTTAACTGAGATTTATCCCTAAGAGCCAGAAAAGAGACTTATGCAACAGAATTATAGAGATGGGTGGATTTAATGGAAATTAGGATCATGATGATAATTTGGTTGAAATTTACTATCAATAATATGACTTGAAAAAATTGAAGTATATAATTTTTATCTCTACTTCTTTGTGTATTTACACTCCTAATGAACAATTATACATTCTGGGATAGTCCAATTTTTTAATGTTTTTCATAATAATGAAAATATTCAGTCTAAATTTACTGTCATGGGTGTTACCATCAAGCATAAGATAATGTTTTTTTATCATTAAAAGTGGTTGTTATGTGATTTCCTTCTATTTTTGTGTAATGTTGTTCATACATTATTTTAAAACAATAATATGCAAAAAAAAAAGTCACCTGCATTACCAAATTTTTTGGAAACTTCGACTAAGTAACTGGAGATAAACTACTGAAATTATCATCAGCCTCAGTTGTGGAAATTTGCTGTTATGATAACTAATAGTGAAAATAAAAATAAAATAGAACTAGACATTTTTTTTTCCCATTGAATAACACTTTTGAAAACTAAATTGATACTCTGAGAAACTCTCCTTATTCCAGTTTATAAATCCAACAAACAATCATATTCCAAAGTTAGATTCTCTTTTATTACTAAAAAAAAAAAAAAAAAATAGTATAAAACATAGTAATTGTAAACTGTATAAAAAAATTTTAAAAAACCTTACATTGCCATTTTCATTGTTTATAACATTTCAGTATTTCCAAGTGTGTTAAACTTGTAATAATCACTTAATTTCAAACACAAATAAAACTCTATAAATTTGTGAGGCTGTGACCAGTGTTTGCGAGCTAATATGAGAATCATCATCATCTTATATGAATGGTCCAGAGCTCTGCAGTTTCTTTGGTTCTGCATCCATAGTTTTTTTGCTTCTGAGTTGGCATGCTGGAGAGGTCAGAATTCTTCTCTTACATGATGGAGGAGCGAGGCAGGATAGTCCAATTTTTAATCTAATTACTGCAACATTGACTTAATTAAAGTTACTTAGAAATTTATTCAACACCTCAGGTCAGAATTCCAATTTATATTTAAAGAAAACTTTTTTATTAAAGGTTGTAGTTATTTTGTTATTTCTAATTTGTTTTATATTATATCTGTTTTTAAAAGTAAAATACTGTAAAGAAATTATTTATTTTGTCAATTTGATAATAGATCAAATGGCTACGTGAAGCTTCTCTACATGTAAAGGTGACAAATAATGAGTTATTGAATGATAATGTTGATCTGAATATATATTTTTCATTGATGAAGTATGGTTACTATTCACCTCTTTTTCACTTATTGGTACCCTATTCTTTTTTTTACTGTGGTTATTCTAAGATTTACTATGTTTATCTGACAAACTTTGCTACATTGTAATTTTTTTCACTTTTATGTAATAAGCACTTAATAATATTATTTTAACAATCATTCATTTGTAAATAACAAACCTTAATCAGATACAAATTTGATGGTTTCATTATGAAAATAAAGCCTTTCATTCCATAACAAAACCTCAACATCCATATTAAAAATATTAATTTCAAAAATTTCTATGTAAATTTTATTATTTTTAATATAAAGTACAGCATAAAGATTCATAACCTTTTTTTGCATGTTATCATTTTATTAGCTTGCATGTTTTGTTTTTTTATATGTTCTAATACTAATATTTATCAGTTACTATTTTTATATTTTAGTAGGAGCTTTTAAGCTACCATTCTTAATTAATAGTACTGTCATTAATGGTTTTCAAGTTCTTTGGTAATATTCCTTAAATTATAACCTTAATAACAAATATACTAATAATATTTAATCATTTATTATCATCATCTTCCTCTTATTGAACAAAAGTATATTTTGCTAATTTGAAAATATTAGTGACATATTACTAATAAATGTATGTATTGGAAAATATGTTTCTAAATGAAATAAGGAACAATTGAATTATCTCTGTTGTTCTTATGGGTGATTCTCAAAAAAAAGCTTCATTTTTGGGTATTAAATGTTATCAATAGACGCGCGGTAATTATAAATTTTTTAGTAACAAACTTTCATATTAGTTATACATATAGCTAGTTACATAAAAAATTATATGAATTTATTCCTGAATATAGTATGGACTTTTAGTTTTATAATTTTTTTTTCCATAAAAATAACTTATTGCAAGTTCTCAGATAAGAGTTTTTAAGCGAAATTGATCTTGTTTCTGGTAGTGATAATGATGATCAAGAGCTTTAAGACCACACAAAAGAATGACTATTGAAAAAAAAAATTATTTAATGGATGTTGTAGACAGTGATGAGAAGAATGAAATAATAAAAAATAATATATATATATATATATATATATATATATATATATATATATATATATATATATATATATATATATATATATATATATGTATGTTCATAGAACACATCCAATTAGAATAATTATTTGAATTGCACTATAATTGAGCTTTTTTTGAGAATCATCCTTATAAATTTTGTTTATTTCTATTTGGTATAATATTGGTATTAACATTGGTATAATATTGGTATAATATTGGTATCAGTATTTTGGATTTCATTTGCCTAATCCAGTTTTCTTGAGGAACATCATCTAGGGATTTCACCTCATTATTATTGCCCATTCAAGTCTTTTAGGATGCAATGTCTGGCTATTCATTTTTCTCAATATCACAATGAATCCCAAATGAAAGTTATTACACTTCCTTCCCTTTTAATGTTCCTGATTGCTAGTATCATATTCCCTGAATCAGTTACAATGACTATTTACAATGATTTTTTCGGTGGTTACCTGTTCAGCTGTGTAGAAGGGCTTCCTTTAAGGCAGTTACCTCTTCCATAAAAATTTAGCAGACTCCAAGAAGTTTGTAAAGAAATGTTTTCTTTTCTTTTATGACCACACATCATACTATGTAGACCTCACCTTTTGATGCATCTGTATACATTACTTGTAGTCTTGAAATTCTTCTAAAACATATATGTCTAACTTGACAAATTACCTACTCGGAAATATGCTAAGATCATCAACCTTTAAGAACGCTCTTATGCTAAAAATTTTGAAAATATTGTCATAAATTCAGTGCACTGTAAAATTGCTTTATCTCTTAATAAAATAAAAAATATAGTAAAGTCTTTTGAGATGCTTGAACTAACTTTGTATAATCTGGCCAATAAGGTCATTATTGATAGCTCATGGTGCTTGGTTTATCTTTTTTGTCAAAACTGAATTCCATTTACATCTAATTTATTAAAGATGGATTGAAAAATGTAATTGTTTTCTCACTTTTAGCAACATAATGATTTAACTATGTTTAACTAAAAATGTAAAATAATTTCATTAAATGTAAATTGTAAGTTTCATTACATAATCAAGTAAAATAATAAGTTCATAGAATAATTTGAACCAAACAAAACAAAGGATCAAAAATGTTATTATAACATTATATTACAAATTATAAATAAAATAATTTGATAAAAGTTACTTTATTAATTTGAATAAATATTTTTTCTCGGTTATGTTTAAGAGCTTGATGATAAAATTCATAATAAATAACATTTTAAGGTTATTTGATACTCAAATTATACATATTTGATTCAAATAAAGTTTTAATTTGATCAGTCGTTATTGTATGGAGCATAAAAAAAAAAAAATTAATTTAAGAACAAAAATCAATAATTAATTTATAAATTATATTAAATATTGTTGAAATCATTAAAATAAAAATTGTTGTTAGTGCTTAATAAACATCACTTATATCAGTGAAATATTTTTAAACCAAACTAGCCTCAAAACTACTCAATTATTTTAATCTAAAATAGCACCATTTCTTTTATTTGTTTGAACAAAGATTAATTCATTTTCAATTACTCTTCAGCTTATGATCTGGCAACACAATGCCCAACGCGGCGCGCTTCATCCAGGCGACACACTGTTGTGGTTTGTGAGGGCAGGGGATCACTAAGTGTACCACAATCTCGCCCGGAATCGAGGCAAACAGATTCTCCGACTGAATCTCTATCCTGTACGCTTCCTGAGATGACCTGGTCAAGGACATCACTTCAAGATGATTTATTGAAATCGGTAAGAAAATATTATGTATAAGTTTCAAATATTAGTTTGAGCTAAACTTAAAGTATATGTTTAGCCTAATTATATTTTTAGCCTATATTTGATATTTGTGAATCAACCATAACTTTATTTAAAAGGTTATAATTTTAATGAATTTTTAAAACTATGAAATAAAATATTCCTTCGAACTTATTATATACCAGGTTATTATATACATATGATAACGGAATTTAACTGTTGAAAATTATGCACCTTTAATGCATTAAATTATTGAGAAATATTTTATTTAAAATATTAAGCTACATCTTTTACTCCTTATCTTTCGGGCAATATATGAATGCCATGGCAGAAAAACTGGTGCTGTTTTGTGGCGAACCAGTCATCAAACCATTTTTGTACATTTTATTAAAAAGTGAAGAGCTACTGAGCAAGTATATGCCTCATTGATGTAAACAAGTAGTAGTCGGGTTAAGCCAAGTCTGGTGAGTAAGCCGCATGCACTAATATTTCCCTACTGAACAACTCAAGCATTTCCTTCACTAAAGGATTTCAAGCTTCTAACTCAAAGAGTGCAACACTCAACTAAAATTATTTTAGATTAATCTCTAATTAAGACCTAAATAAATTAATATTCTTAGTTAATCATTTTTTAAAAGTATATATACAATATTGATATGTTAATAAAATATTTATGAAGACATTTGAACTTTATAGAATTTCCCATCTTACAACAGAGCCATTTTCTTAATAAAAATATGATTTTAACTCCTGACCAAATAATATTTGAGAAACTTGTAACAAAATCGAATTTAATATTTTATGTTTCAAATTGATGATGAAAAATCATTCCTCTAGTAGAAAGAAATTTCTCTTTGAACCATAAATTATGAATGTATAATCTTATTTTCATATAATTTTTCACAGAAACAATGGCAAGAAGAGTGTCTGTCACTTACCCTCGAAGAAATTGTTCATATTAGGAGTGTTCTGACAAAAGCCGAACTTGAAAGTCTTCCAGTTGAAGGTCGGGTCAAGGAAGATGCCGAAAGGAGAAAAGTATGAGTTCAATCTAAAATGTTTTTCAGAATCAATTCTATACTATATTTTAAATTATATAAATCATTTTTTTTTTAAATGTAGGAACTATAATCTAATGTGCTTTCAGGTATGTTTCTTATGTATGAAAACACGTTTTGGTATTTTTGGTCCTTGGGGACAAATCTGCAAACTTTGTAAAAGAACTGTATGTGCCAAATGTTACTCTAAGGTAAGAAATTTTTATATAATAAAATAGTATTCAAAATAAAATAATAATAATTTATTATCATCATTATTATTTGGACCGTTTATTTTGAAAGTGGTGTAAGTTCATTTTGTCTTGTTTTGAGATAATTAGGGGTTAGCATATCAGTCATTAAAAAAATTAGCTTAATTATATCAAGTCTGGCAATGTTTCTACTGATTTATCAATATGTAATTTGATTATATAAATTTGTTTTAGGCGAATTTAACTAAAATAATTTATATTTACGGGCTGCAAATGGACTTACACAAATGGACTTAAAATTAGTCAATTGTAAAAATCGTTTAATTTCAATTTTGAAAAATCAAATATCGCTTAAAATATATCTCATATTAATCCAATTTTGCTTACAAATATTAACAATATAAAAAATAAAAGTAGTCTTTTTAATTTTAAATGTTAATTATATTGTTAAAATTAACATAAGTTATTGATAGTTTTTACTTATGCTCTTCATGTGACAGTGTTTTTAAATATTTGTGATGCATAGGAAGAATAAAGGGTAATAACTGCTTCATATATACAGGGAATTCTTTTTTCATAATGCCATTTCTATGATACCAAAATCTGCATAGTTTGGAAGTTACGAATGCCCGGAGAGTAAAAATTTGTGATCAACTATCTCAATGTTATTTTTGCAACAACTGGACAAACTTCAAAACATCAATATCAATTGTAAATTTGAATTTTGCCTATAACATATTAGTATATGCAATAACATGACATTGAGTCGTTACATTTTGTGCATGTTTCGAAAAGCAAGAAGCTACTTCTTGCGATCCCATGGAAGCGATATTTTCATCCCAAACCCTAATGGACAAAACTATTGTTTATGGAAATTGGACTTATACCACTTTCATAATCATGGTCATGCAATTTATTTTACCAACTAATTTTAAGTTGGACAAATCATTGGGATTTTTTAAGATATTAACAACTGACTAGTTATAAATAAGAAGTTTACACTAAATTGCGCATAAATTACGTGATATCTCATTTTTTTTTTTTTTTAAATGGACTTACACTACTTCCAAAATAAATGGTCCATTTAATGATTTAATTTTCTACTTCCTTGACTTCAACATGGTAATATTCATTTGGAGATCCCATTGGTAATTCTTATATCATTTTTTAAAATGTAATTATAGTTTTTAAGTCTATTTTTCTTCTTTTTGATTGAACTAGCTACAGTTTTGGAAGTGAAATTTTCTTTAGGGACATTTTTCACTTTTTTGGAGGGAGCGAATTAGATTGAACCATCAGATTTTCAATGTGTAACGCTCAGGCAAAGTCGGCTGGAGTCAACTAATTGAAGTGTTTTTGCATATAGATTAAAATATCTCAAAAACTAAAAATCGGACCTGCATATTGTTAGTGAGGGAAATTTTCATCATTTCATCCTCTTGCTTCGGGAGTAGAGAAGCGATTCCACCTTCAACTGCTGTGTTTGTGGAGAGGCTGAGTGTGGAAAGGAGCGATCTGCAGAATATGGCAGAGTCAATTATTTTGGACTCGGGAATTCTGCACCATCACATAATTCTGGGCAGTTCATTATGGGCTTTATGGACAGTCGTGAGAAGGAAGAAAATTGAGTGTAGCAATCTGAAGAAAAATGCTAAAATATATTTTAGTCCCAACCACCAGTATTATCTCATTTTTTCTTTCCCGATTTCCCGAGCTAAAGACATTTAATTCTATCTTTTTGAATGAGATCTTTGTGTATCAGGGAGTTTGTTTTTATATAATTCCCTATTTCTGTTATTTATACCAACAGTTATTTTTCATGTGGTTTCTTCCACATGAAATGTAGTTTAGAAATAACATTATTCTATAGCATACTTCAAAACCCTGATTATTTTTATTGGTGCCATTCCTCTTTTCTAATGACAGTAGAATTCGTTTCAATTCATTAAACTTAATATTGCAATTGGCTAAAATAGGAACACTACAGGGTCACAATAGTGAGCCGAACATTCAATGAAGTATCTTATCAATTCCTCGACTGTAAAATCATTCTCAATTTGAGCTATCTCCTGGGCTAACTACCGGAATCTATTAAGATACTCATCCATAGACTCAGAGTCATTTTTCTTAATATTATTAAGGTCAAAAATGAGATCAAGTATCCGCTCCTCAGGAATACCCTCAAACCTTTCTTTTAATTTCTTTCAAATCCTTTTGGCCTTCTTTGTTAATCTAATTGAAGGTAATATATCACAACTTACATTTTACCCTATAAGGACACACTTAAAAAAGTCAATTAATTTCTTCAGAAGAATACATTGTTTTGGTAGTTGCCAGACTAAAAAAATAGTTTCTATACATTATATTCTGAATTGAAAATACCACTAATTATTATATAGTTATTACATTAGAAATCTACTGCTGAATTATTCAGAATTTCAAAATAAAAAAGATAAAACTGGCATTCGAAAGAACAGTTTCATAGAGAGCACTCTGGGGTGTGAGGTACCCATGAGAGTTGCGTAAAGAACACACTAGAGTGTGGGATACCCCACAATGACTTTTGATAACTGCAATTAGCCTGGCTATGTATGATGTTTATTTATTTATTTATGATGAAAAGGAATGAATTAAAAAGTAGAAAGCAGATAGAAATAAGACTTTTCAAAAGTATTATGTAATCTGACTGTATATTGACCCCTATGCTGCAAATGTGCCCGAGAGTTAGAAATCCCAGCTCAAGTACTGACCAAATGTCTGAATAACATGCTCCTTTTCACCTGCCGGCATAATAATGTAAAGCATCGAGTTGTCGAATTGCTAAAGATGAAAAAGTATAGGTGCTTCCTTGAAGTATATTGTATAGATTTGGAAGGTCCATGCGAGATTTGTAGATATCTTAGCCTTTAGTGCAAAAGGATAGTCGAAATAAGGCATTATAACAAATAAGGCTCTGATAGTCGATCCTACAATGCGATTTAAAACAAACGATGAAGATCAAGATCTTAAAATACAAACAGAAAAACAAGAGATCTATAAAAAATGCATTCCGTACCTACAGGAGAAATACAGAGAGAAATTTGGTGAAAGAGAATTTCAGACTGACAGGCACTGAGATTAGCACGCTCAAACCAACAAGCCTGGCATTGATATTTCACTATTGCAAGTTCAGAGAAATATAGTTTTGTGATGGAAATAAAAACTATACTTTTATAAAAAATATACTAATACTGTCGATACTGGATATATTATTATAAAAATATTGTGGATTTTCTTAGGAATAATATCAGTAGTTTTAAGAGACGAATTTTATGTGTATGATTTTTTTGTGAAAAAGATAAATTTCAATTATTATTTATGAACCCAAACAATTTTATTACTTTTAATCTTTTTTTCTATATTATTATTAATAATGACTTTATTTTATGTTGAAGATGAGAATTCCTACAGAGCACTTTTCTCATGTGCCCGTTGTTGCGTTGAGCCCAAGCATGCTATCTCCTACTGAACCCGATGATTCCTTATCACGCTCCCTCGCCATGAAGCTTCTGCCTGACGGGGTTGGAAGTGCCCCAACTAGCCCTAAGCTTACCAGATCGGCACCTCCTTCCCAGATGTCAACCAGTCTCATATCAGAAGGGCCTATTTCACTACCTCCTTCCAGTCCATCTTACGCACCATCAGACAAGTATGTGAATAACTTTTATTTAGGCTACTTTTCTTAATTTTTTTATTTTATGTGAATTATTAAGAATTAAGGTTTGAACTGATTCCTCTTATGGATATGTGCTTGTCTAAGAACTTTCTTTTTTAAATCTTACAAAAAAAATTGTTATTTTTCTAATGTATTTGGTCTAAGAAAAAATAATGAAATTCATTTTTTTAAAAAAACTTCTTGGATTTTTGTAGAATTAATATAACATTTAGTGATAAACATAACCCATTTCAAATTTCTTCACACTTGTGGAGCTTGAGCTGATATCACCATTTTGAAACTCTTAGTATTAATAATCCAAATAGGGTATTGTAAACTATTGGATTGCAAACTGGTTAAAGGTGATAAATAGTTTTTTGTGTATTTACTTACAGACAAGTTTTTCTAAGCCTTGTAAACACTTCTTCTACAGTTTATTTTACATTTCATATTATTTAAAAGCAAATGAAGCATCCTTTATTTTACTTATTTTTACCTTTCTGGATTAAAGTAACCTATTATCATCCTTTTTAATCAATAAAGGAAACACATTAAAAACAAAAATTAAAACAATAGAACAAATAGAAGAGAATTATTATAACTCCTAAATAAAAATTGGGTGAATCTTGACGAGGAAAGCAATTTCCCCTACAAATTTGTTTTCTTACTATTCAGAAATTGAAACATTGTATAACAAGATGTGTCCTTGTGAACTTATTTTCTCCAATCAGTAAAATTTCAGAAATTGCGTCAACCTCTAAAGCCCTATTGTTGAAATATATTTGTGAATTTCTCAATGAAACATCAGGCATGTGGAATGTAAAATTGTAGCAAATTTACTGAAAGAAAATTTTGAAAATATTCCGTCTTAAAAGTTTGAAATATTCTTACAACTGAAAATAAGAAATAATCTACTCACATTGGTCTTTTTTTTTTTTTTCAAATAGTGTATTTAGTATTATTTACTTTAATATGCAGGACCTATGAATATAAATGAAATAATAGATTGGACTCGAGCATAAACTAGGCAAACTGGAGAATCAAGGAGCATTTCATGAACAGGCACTCGCCTTACTGAGTTTGGCTCTATATTTTTCACAGAATAACTAAATATGAGATTAACTGAAAAATTATCAATCCTGGTATAACAGACTCCATTATATTGGTTGAATGTAATGGAAAATCTCCAAATGATGCTGTTTACATTTCAGCACATCTGATAGAAGGTTAACTTGCTATAATTGGGCATATCCTTAATTTTTAACTGTTTTATTAAAGTATCATACATAACTTTTGAAATTTCTTCATCAGTGTTAAAACTTTATCCACTTTTACAAGAATATAATTGAATTTCTCTTATAAAATAAGAATATAGATCTTACTTTGAATGAGTGAATCTTAAAATATATTATTATTACGACAGTTGACTCCTTGTCGAGCATAGGGCATCTAAAAGTGCGTTCCATTCCGTTTTTTTTGCAGCAATCATTTTTGCTTCAGGCCAAGTCTTGCCAGCATGGCTCAGGTCATTTTGCACAAATCTCTACTTTGTTTCTCTTGGTCTTCCCCTTCTTCTTGTTCCTTAAGGATTCCTTTGAAGGGCTTCTTTTTCTATCACACTATCAGCCTTCTTTAAAGTGGTCCAATCTTTTCCTTAGAATCTTTTCCTCTTCCTAAAATTTTCTCAATTTTTTTTTTTGTCTAACTTCATCATGTGAAAGATTCTAAAGCAGGTTGTAATAAATATCTGAGATATTTTTAGATATTTTAGAAGTTACACCTCCGACCATAAATTAAGAAGAGCAGAGTCGGGGAACCGAAATAAAATGGAAAATTGGAGTAGTGGGGATGATCTTTAATTTATGACCAAAGGATGGTAATGTAATAGTCTTAATTTGTTTATGATATATAATGTATTCCTTATGTTTTTTAGTTTGTAATATTAACGGGTTCGGAGTACCCGAGCTGGCTAACATGTGTGCACAGCACCATGCGTTGCCCAGCAACCTGATAACCAAAGTTATAAAAGATAAAATAAGTACCAGTTCGTATCCCGATGCCATTGGAGCTTTTAACTCTCCTGCCTTACCCCCTGGCCTGGTAAAACCCTATATAGCCTAAAAAGTGAAGAAGGGGAGAAAAAGAAAAATACAAGTTTTTAATATTAAGAAATTGTGAAAATTATATTTTTTTATTTAAATTATTATAAAATAAGATTTATAATTATAAAAACTTTTTTTCAGGTGGCGTGTCGCAAGAGCCCGCGCTATGGGAAGGCAGAAAGCTGAGAAATTAAAAGGATTGCAGATGACTGTATGCCATGACTGCAAAGCTATGGTCTTACAAATAATTAAATCTTCTCGCACAACCCGCAATAATGCTATAAGAAACCTGACCCTAGACCTTTCTCCTGTTTATTAACTTTAACCAAGAATTTAGAACCAATAATCAAACTGTAAGATGAAGAAAGAAGACAATTAGAAAAGAATAACAATAATGATGTTCTGATAGATAATATATGTATGTATATAATGGAACTTTATCTCTCACTGGTACTTAATAGTTTTGAGTATTGTATTGATTAAGAAAATTATAAAGTGATAACAGGATAACCCCCTCCCCCACCTCTCTTTCTTATGTTCCTAGGAAATAAAGTTTAGTTTTGTATATAGTGTAAAATTTATTATAATTGTTGTATATCTTTATGTATTTTTAGTGATGTATATTACAAATGAAACGATATCTACAAATTTTATTTTCAGTAATATATGGAGCCTGTATTGGTCTACAACAAATAGGAATAGGTTATAGTTCACATATATTTTAAGAATATTTTAATTCCTTTCTTCTTGACAGCAAATATATGAGTATATTTTTCAATCAAATTCATTAGTATAATTAGGATAATTTATAAACCAATAAATGTGTATATTTGTAAACAATAATATGTAATCTACCTTAAGTTATTGACTGTTTGTGTCTAGGATAAATGATAATAATAAAAATATGATTACTTATGTAAAACTGATTCTCATCAATTTATTTTTATGTAATAGTGAATTGGCAGATATGAATTCATAAACTGTAATAAGAATTTTTCTTTATTGAATTGGTGCACAAATTGCATAGCCGTTTGTAACAGTAGTAATTACATATATGCATATACATATATTAAGAATTAATAAAATGGAGTATAAATATAATATTTTCAAAGTTCAATTTGTAATTAACAAAATTTGGTATTTAAAATATTGCTGATTCTAGACTAGTGATTATAACAATTTTCTCAACTTTCACAATGTTAACACTCATGTGATAAATTTTTATAAAATATTTCTCTCATATATATGTTTTAGGTATTGCACATTTCATCTTGTAGAAAAATAATTTACTGCCTGGTATTTATATAAACACTAAAATTGTAATAAACTTTTGTACTTATAAATTGAAAATTACAATTCTTTTTTTCTTTATTTACTATTTATGAAATTTTTCACTAATGCACCAATTCATTATGATCATTAAAACGGCTGTTGAACTAGTAAACATTAAAATTGTGATGCAATTTAGAAAGTTTTTCTTTCTTCTTTTTTTTTTTTACAATTCCTTTGAACACAAATGGAACTTTGTGTCTTTTCTGTTGAAATAAAGCCAGTATTTTTTCAAGTATTAGTAGTAAATAAAGTAACAGATAGTAAACAAAGTATGTTACTAACTTAATACCATTCATTTATATGAGGAAATATGACTCGGGATTCTGATATTACTTATAGATTCTAACAACCCTATAATTCTGTCAGTTGGATAATTTCTAGCTGTTATTTGTTTGTCTTTTGAGGCTATTACAGAATGATTCATCAGCTGAAATTTATTATATGAAAAAACCAAATAAAGTAATGAACTCTTTAATAATTCAACTATATAATCTATAGGAACATGGCAAATAAAATAAAATAAGAATTATTAATAAAATACTTAAGTAACATATAAAATACTTAAATAAAATAACTAAAAAAGACAGAAATTTCTATTTATGTTGTTTAGTTGAACTTCATATGTTCAAGTAAACCACATAAATGCGGAAATCTATGATTCAATTCGGGTACAACTGGTAAAAATAGAGAAGAGACATATCTTTGTTAATTGTGACACCCTCTGTTCCAACTTTTTAAAAAGGGGTATAATAATACAAACTATAGACAAAAATATGATCTTGCAAATTTACATTTTTTTTCTCAAATTTCAGAGAATATAAAAAAAACTGAGATATGTATATATATATTACTGACGATGTGTCAATTAATTCATTTTCAAGCTTTTAATATTAATATTTCAACATTAAAAGTAAATTTTGGTTTTATGTTATTTGAATTACTTGTACAATGCTATGCTATTACTTACAATTAATAGTATTGTTTGTAAATATCATTTCTTATCTCCAATCATTCCTATATTTTAATCATTAAAAAGCAAACAAAAATGTGAGCCATTTGAAATAAGTAACTGTACCCGAATGGTAAAAAAAAAATGTAAAATTAATGCATTTTATACAAGATTGCATTCTTGTGTTATCCTACAAAATAAACTTGTTTATACAAAACATTTTTAAGTTATGTTATTAACTAAAGTAACTGCTAATGATACTGGCTTTATGAATAAGGAAAAGATCGTTCTTTTTTTTACATTTAATTTAAAACTAGACAAGATTAAATTTAAGAAAGGAAAGATAATTACAATGGTAAACATAAAATTTTTCTTGAGAAAGCTAACTAGAAAAATCTTCCTTTATTTTAGCCAACAAATGATATAAAATAATGTTTTCAGAAATAGCCCAGTATGCAAAGGGATAGATTATGTCGATTCCTGAGAGATATATTGTTATTTAAGGCTATATTTCTGGAATGCATTTTTTTTTTTTTTTTTTTTTTTTTTTTCTGGTGGCAGTATTACCCATTGGTTGATGAAACAACTATTGGGTCACAATTGAGTTTTTTTTTTTGGTTAATTTACAGATCCTCTCATTTGTTTTTTAATAATAAATGGATTTACTATAAAATAATATCTTAGATAGTTCAGATTTTTACCAATATTTTAAGCATAAATTTAGATGTTAAGAAAAAAACCTGGCCATTCCTTTTATATAGATATACAAAAAATGCATATTAAAGGCCTCACATGATAATTTCATAACTGACTTTTTCTGCCATCATATCTGTATTTGTGTTGTTTTATTTTTTTACTTTTTTCAAATTGAATAAAAACATCTTATTTATTGTTCTGTTTCTTAAGATTATTGAAAATCTTCTAAATGATTTTAAAATTGATTTCTGCCAATTTTTAAGCTACAAAACTATCAGATAAGAGATTTTCATCAATAAAAATAAATAAATAAATGACTACAAAATGTCTGTTTTAAAGTTATCATGTAAAGTCATGGATATATTATTTATTTTAAAATACACATGAAAGCATGCTGACATCAGTTTGGCCTTGGTTTAGCACATTTCATTAACATGAATTGATTGGATCATGCATAATTTTCTACTTTAAGGACATTTTTCATAATGCTGACTAATAATTTTAAAAAAATAAAAACAATTACCTATTCTACATTTATCACAAACAAAATTCACAATGATAGAACTAAGCAGATGAAACTAACTTCTTTTTCATGATTTTTTTTTCTTAAATATTATTTACAATATATACTTGGTAGATTCATTTTGCTCTAAAAATAAATTAAATTAAAAGTAATCTGAATAAACAGAACAAATTTTCATTTAAACAATTTTTTCGCTTGTTGATAGCTGTCAACTTGTACAATTATGTCATTAATTTAAAAATAATTGAATGAGACTTTTGAGGTTAAATTGTTATTTTAAAAAAATATACATTTTTTTTACATATATACAAAAAAGTTATGGTAAATGCATTTGTAAAATAAAAAAAATATTAAATCTACAAAATTATTCTAAAATCAGTGAGCTTGTTCTGGACAATAGTTTAAATTTTTACAAATAGACGAAAAGAAAATTACATGGGAATGAGTTAAGTACCCATTTAACACTTTGAAACTATTTGCTTAAAAATCATAAATTAAATTCTAAATAACATGAGATCAGGCATATTGTGGAACCGTGCCTTTTCTCAGACTAGATGTTTCAGTTTCTCTGACTTTTACGAAACATTTTTTTTTTTTTGTATTAAATATAATTTTATTTTTAGGAAATTCTATTTGTTTTTGCCATGTAACTGCAATATGAATATTATGGGTCGACAAGAATTTCAAAATGCACAGAACCCATTCTGTCCTTGGCTCCAGTTTGTCTTTGGTATATAATGTTTTTCGCCCAGGCACGGCATTCTATATTTACGAGTCTTGCCACTGAAAAAGAAAAACTTTTATTACATTTACAGTTTTTCACCATAGACCAGAATAGAATATTGAAATATTCTAGTATAGCCAATTATGGATGTCTCATGAGAGTTGAAAAATGAACCAATTTCTTAATTTTGAATTTAACATTGAATTCTAGTATTCAACTAATTTCGATTCAGTATTTAGATTAGCAAGCCAACTACTTATAAAATGTAAATATTACCATTGATTAATTTTGAATGTGCATATATATCATAGAAATTGCATCAGTTATTTCTTTTGATTCTTATTGATAATATTGATTTCATTTACTGTTTTTGTTTGTCTTTAATTATTTAGTTTACCAGAAAACTTAAACAATGTCAGTTCAGTTTTAACTAATGCCAGGATAATAAAAGCTGTAATTATGACCAGTTTAAAAAAACTGTCCTCGTCAGAAAATATTAAAATTGAGAAGTTACATAAAGGGAAGGAATTTTCATGGAAATAGCAACAAGAATAGGGTACCACCAATCAATGACAGTCATAGTTTTAAAAAAATGTTTCAGGGCACCATTGAGCAAAAGAAAGAAACTGGGAAGAGAAAAAAACAAACCAACAGTTTGGCCACTTATGGTTCAATTTTTTTTTTAGATTATCCTTTCAAAACTGGCAAAGAAATATCCAGAGATCTTGTAGATAGCAATATGGTAAATAAAATAAAATTTAATCAAATTTTCACTGGGTGATGGAATTTCTATGACTATGGCTGTATGTATATATTTTTAAAATTAAATTTAGGCTTCATATTAATAACACTATGAATACAATTAACTAGTTAATTGTTTTCTAAATACCCGGGGGTCTCTTGAATTGTACAGCAACAAGGGGGCTCAAGTATCCAGGTTGGTTCATATACGGATAGTAGTATCCCGGGAATCCTGGCCTTGGAAAATATTGGATCGGGCCTAACGTTTCATTGTCTGCGGGTCCTTCAGGTGTGCAGCTTACCCAAACAGTATTCAGCTAGAACATTAAATACATTATAATTACCAAAAAAAAAATTTTAATAACAGAGTATTGTTAGAATAAATTTTTAATATTATGTATGTATTAATTTATATAATATACGAGTGAAAGATCACAATCTAGAGATTTTACATTGTATTTTATTTTTTTATTTATTTTTTTCTTGTACTACTACAACCCATGAAGGGTCTTGGGTTCAGTACTATTTAGGGAAGCACTGTTTCTTGGTCTACGGTTCTGCAAAGATGTGATTTGACCGAGATCATGCTCAATCGCCAGGTTTTGCTTCTTAATTAATTATTTTAATTAAGAGTACCCACTTTATAGAGGCTGGATGTGCCCGAGGAAGGTTTACCTAGCCAGAGTCGCCCCACTGCCAATGAAACAGAATAAATAATTTTTCTACCATGAGCCGGCATTCATACCTGAGACCTTAAGCATTTGAAGCTCAGTGCACTACCACTGAGTTATCCCACTCCCTTATTTACAAAATTTATCCTTTATTTACAAAACTTTAAATTTTTTTATATGAATAATATAATTTATAGTTGTCATAAGTTAATAAGATAATATTTGATGTCTTACCATTCTCTGGTCCAAATTATAACTTTTCTTAAATTCATTCTTCAGAAATTCAGGCATATTGGAAGGCAACTCGCTTTCATTTCTGTAGTAGTCTGGTACCCAACCAATAATCTGGTAAAAGAATTGTTTTCATTAATTATTATTGGTGATAAAGTAAAAAATGTAATTTGGTTATTCAATAATATTTTTTTATTCAAAACACCAATATTTTATATATGAATGATTAACATCATGGAATGAAAACATAACCAACAAAGGCCAATACCTATATGTTTGTGTGTTTTGGGTATATTATATACATAATCTATTTATTCACTTATATTTAAAATTTGTATGACTAATATTAATATATTCAAAACTTTAAAGTTATTTATTGAGATATACCAACATTATATTAAATATACTAATAGATACGTTATTTAAATGTAGGTTTTACGCTTTTAAGTAGAAACAAACAACTTATTTAAATTTTTAAATTATGAACATTGATCTATATTACTAAATTTAAAAAAAAAAAGATGCTTGGGGATCAGGCTTAGTGCAGAAGACCTGGACAATGTACCTTGCCGCAGAAGCTGGGAAGATGATCCGCGATTGCTGTCTGTCATCTTTGTCAGGCAATCAATCAGGGATGATTATAATAATGAAAAGGAAAAAGGGGTTTTCGGTTAGCAGGAGAATGACTGCCACCAAATTTATCTGGGTGAAGAGATGAATCTCACAAACAGACACCTCTATTGACTCGCCCGGCAGAAGAGAGCGGTGGGAAAAATCAAGTACACGTGGTTTGCCGCCAGAAAGGTGTGGTGTTGAAAAGAGGACGGACATAGAGTACTACCTAGAATCCGTCAACCCCTTATCCTCATTAAAATGACTTTTACAACAATTGGCTTCAAAAAAATATTCTTTAAATAAAAATCCTAATCCATCCTCTCCCGAAGATTTCTGTCCAATATCAATTCTTTCCAATCTTTCAAAATCCCAAGAAAGGTTGGTACAATCTCAAGTTTCCAACTTCCTTGACAAATCCAACCAACTCGATCCTCTCCAATCTGGTTTCCGTCCTGGCTACTCTACACAATCTGCTCTGATTAAAATTACCAGTAATATTCAGACTGCAATAGATGACGAAAAACTAACTATACTTATACTTCTTGATTTCTCCAAAGCCTTTGACTCCTTTATCCATTCCATCCTTTTCAACAAACTAAAATCATTCTCCAATAGTTCCATCTCTTGGTTCTAATTTTTCCTCTCGCAATGAACCCAAGCAGTTTTTATACCAAAACAACCACTATTTGCCTAACTTCTTTTATCCTCTAGAGTTTCTCAGGGTTCAAGTATATCTCCTCTTCTTTTCAGCCCCTATCTTAACAACCTAAGTGATTCAATCCTCCATTGTTCCCACCACCTTTATACGATTCTCAAATCCTTTTCTCCCGCTGAGTTATTGATAGCATTTGCCAAAATTCAAGAAGATTTAGATCGAATTAGTACCTGAGCAAACTTAAATGGATTAAGGCTAAATGCTGCTAAAACTCAGACCATTTTCATTCGTTCCATGCCCCTTCTTAAATCCCACACCAACTTTCCTTCACGTTTCCTATATAACCATCCTATCACCTTCTACCCCTCTGTTAAAAATTTATGCTTTTTCATAGATCAAATCCTCTCCTGGAATCACCATATCTCTCATATCTCCTGTCATGCAATTTCTACCCTCAAACTATTCAATCGCTTCCGACATCTCCTACCCCAAAATACTCGTAGAGTCCTAGTTTCGTCTCTCATCTTTCCCCACTTTGACTACAGCTGTGTGGTGTACGATGGCCTCTTGGTCGAGCTCCATGATAGACTGAATACACTTATGAATAACTTCATAAGATTCGTAATTGGGATCCCGAGAATCTCCCATGTCTCCCACCACTACACTGAGTGAGGGTGGTTCTTCTTCTCCTTCAGAAGACAATATTTCGTAGGCTCATTCCTTTATCTTAAATCATTAATGATCATTGTCCTTCTTATGCCTCCAACCTTCTCCAATGTAAGTCCTCAATCAATTTCTTCACCTGAAGATCTTGACCTTCTGACATATATATACATCCCTTCTCATAGATCTGACTCACTCTAAAAAACCCTTTGTAGCCTGCTCTGTCAACTTCTGGAATTTCCCCCTATCAAAATTCGGCATGCCCCCTCCGTATCCACATTCAAAAATCTTCTATTCCAATTCCTGCTCCAAAAACAGTCAGATACCTGCTAACTATTGACATTATATATGTATTGCATAGCAATCATATAATCATACTGTTCTTTGTTAGTGATAGTACATGTATTTCCTACTTTCCACGCCACTCAATAAATCTATTTTTTTTTAAATACTTTTTTTTTCAATTATCACTAACATTTTGTTTTATATACAATTAAACATCAACACGTATCTTCCATAACTGAGGATAACGCTCTTCTTATGATGTATTTACATTTTATTCAGCATTTATATAATTAGACTTATATTGACAGATGCAACTTCCACTTTTCTAATTAAAACTTAAGAGTATTTATGAAAAGAACTTATTTTATTTTGTGTCTTTTTCGTTCTTCATTTATTAAAGTGTATATTTATGTTGTTCTACCATTATATATAGTTTTAAATGTTTTGTTCATAGTTTTAAGTGTTTTGTACATAGTTTTATCAGTTTTGTATATAGGTTGTTTACTTGAGGTATTCTTTACTTTTTAGTTTATTTTTTAAATTTTATTTATTGTTTCAAACTTTTAAGCCAGAAGTAGTCTTTTCTTTTTGAACAATTTTGTTATTCTAAAGGAACTGTGTCCCATAATAAAGTTGTTTTCATATCTATCTATCTAAATAAACTGCAATCATGCTTAAAGTCACAATTGCTTCTGTGGGAAAGTTTAATTGACTTTAAGTTCTTTAACTTATTCCTTTTGAATTAATTATTATAATTTTATATATTAGTAAAACATGAGTTAATTGCTGATATTAGTAAAAAGCTACTGAGTTAATAATTATTTTTTATGATTTAATGATTCTTTTTATTTATAAGCATTGAGAAAAAAAGATTCCTGACCTTTTGGGTCTTTAATATGCATCAAGGATTACTAGGTAACGGAGTGAAAGAAACTGAATTATGATTAAAGATTGAGGAAATTTATCAAATTGTTAACAACACATTTTTCTAAAATAAATTTTAAATATATTATGAAATATTTTTAATATTTCTCATAAATCATAAGATATGTATGTATTTGCATTTAGTTTGCTGAATTTCAAAGTTCTGTGTTAATTAAATCCAAAGGAGATTAAGCTGAGTTGGAACTTGATAGCAATGTCATCTTGATTGTAATTTTATTTTATTTTTAATGATTTAATTTATTGCTTTGTCTAAATATAGTTTAAGATATAGTTTGTGATATTTGGAAAATAAAGATTGATATGTTTGCAGTATGGATGATGAAAAGTTATAATTGTTTGAACAATTATTTGAAATAATTGGTTTATTTAGAAATAACCGGAAAATTAAAGAGTAACTGGTATTAAAGTAACTTGACTGATATGATTGTAGTAGGAGTGTAAGAAGTAATTATTTTTTAAACTGTCATTTCAAATAATTTGTTTAATTTAAAATAACCAGTTAATTAAGAAGTAACTGGTGTCAAAAAAAGTAATGGATCATACTTTGAGCTCATTTTAGGTAATGGCTTTTACCAAATTAAAAAAATTGAAAAATATCCTCCATTAGGAAGCCACTTTCTTTGACCTTAATGGTCATTCCTATCCATCTGATTATGATAACCAGAACAGCAGAAACATTCTCCTGTTTTGTCCTGAAATTAATTACTCTTGTTTTCATCTCACTAACGAAATAGAATCATGTTTGACGTGTTTGCTGAACTTGTTTGTAATCCCTAAAGAGCTATTTTGTAATTCCAAACAATGAATTAGCATTATATAGTTAGTAATATTGTATTATACTCACTTTGTTTAATTTTAATAAGACGCAAGGGGAAGAAGATGGGAACCCGTAACTATTCTTCTTTGTACATTCACCCCATTCAGGTCCTAGCACGTCAAAATCACAGACTTTGTCAGGTTGTTTTGGCAGTTTATAATCACATTCAGCTCTGTTTTTATGACCTGGTTCTTCCATATAAGCTGAAACAGGTAATAATTTATTGTTTCAACTGTGGATTAATATTAAAAGTAATTACAATTTGAGAAAAAAATCCAACTATCATACAAATTATATACTAACTTTATATAAAAGTATACCTATAGACATCAAAGACTCTGTCTGGTTAAGATATGTCAAAGTGTCCTAGATAGATAAATGTCTGCCAACTTACACATTTATACATTATCACAAGAAATTGCTACCACCTTAATTTCCGATTTCCAGTGTCCTCACATGCCTCATATCCAGCTCAAAAATCTCGAAACAGTACAATTTTTATCACCTTATTTTCTTTATTTTTTTATAAGCACGGTGTGCGGGCCATGGCTTGTGATGAAAAAAAAAATGTGTTTTGAATCGTGAGATCGAACGATTTACATATACCGTGTAGTCGCCTTTCCTTTTCGGTGACAGTCTCCTTTCCATAGCGTCCAACTACTCGGCTTCGTTGTCCCCATTCAACCCCATCCAACTCGAGCGTTGAAGTCCCCAAGAAGAATGATTTCGTTGTCATACACCTTCTCGAGAGTAGCTCTGAGGTTCACGACAAAGGCGTCCTTCACATCCGGAGTCTCATTATTTCCTGGTGCATATAGACCGAACACAGCAATTTTTCGACCAAGATAGTCAGGTTTCACCCGCATGAGCCTCTCTGAGATCACCTCACAATGGATTATTCTCCGCCCGTGCTTCCTTTTGACCATGAAAGACACTCCTGCCTGCTCCCATAAGAGAGCTACTATCCTTGTCAATACCACCCCATAAATGAATATATTCTCCCAGAAGCCCCTGACTTTTCCCTTTGAACTTCGTTTCGGTCAAGACAACAAGGTCTAGCGCTGAACGTTCCACTTCTTTTATCACTTCGATTCGCTTGTTGTTAAGATTCTGTACAATCCAGGTTCCCAACTGGATAGTCTCTGTCCGTTTCCGATGTCTTTTGCCAGACTGCCTTGATCATCATGACCAGACACTTTGAACATTAGATAAATTGTTTCAGGGGATTCATTCAGTGTATAAACCATAGAAGTAAATTAAATAAGCTTACAGTTGTTCATTACTTTTAATATCTCATATAATCTTATTAATGCAAACAGATTTTCGTGTACATATATCATTTCATCACTTTTAATTTTTGACAGACATCATTATTTGAAATTTAGGTTTTGAATACGATATTTGTGACCGTCATAACTCTAAAATAGGAATTTAAGCTCCTTGAATAAGCAAGACATAACTAAAAAAAAAAATAATTGAAAAAAATAAATGTCGACAACAGAAATGACTCCATTTTGAAAATCAATCGGTCCTAAGTGACGGAATGTTGTTATAGACCTTCAAAAATATATTTAAGCCTACATTTTTAAGTAGATATGCAATATGTAGTGATTGGATAGTAATGATAGATTTCAGCAATTTATAGTGTTTCAGTCCATTTATAGCCAGGCATATGGTTATGAAATGCTCAGCATCAATATGAAATCAATTAAAAATTCAGAGTGCTTAAAATATAATTGAAATTTTATTTTTATTTTAGCTCAAATGTTACAGAATGCCCAGGGTATCTCACTGATTAATTTGAACCATCAGACTTCATAATCAGCCTGACCGCTTCCTCCAAAAATCCTTACAAACCTTAGGGGATTTTATACATTAATTTTTCAGTATTTTGAATTCAAAATCTCACCAATTAATTTGAATAACTAGAAGAACTTTAACATTGTTTATCTATAATTATAATAGATGTCTTATTTAAGTAATACAGGATTATTTTTTTTTGGTTGTAATGGGAGAAGGTATGTGAACATTTTTCAAAGTTCAGTCCCTGAAGGTAATGGAGCATGGCTGCCCTAATTAATATGGCGGTCTATTTGTGGGTTCATGTTACCCCATTGTGATCCATTTACGTAATGAAAAGTCAACCATATCTGATTAAGGGTTTGCTAAAAATATATTCCCAATTCATTCACCAAGTTCCTAATCGATTCAGTACTTATTCTTTATGTTGAATCCTTTCTTTAATAACGCATTAGATCAATAAATAATCTATTTAAAAGAATTCTCAACTAATTATTAGTTAAAAATTCTTTAAAATAGTCAGTCGATTAATAGTAACAGATTAAATTCTATTTACCTTAATGATCATAAGTCAAAATTTTAAAGAATTCTGTTTGGACAGCAAAACGTTGTCGTACAATTGAAGAGAATGATAAAAAGGAAAAAATAATGATTATTTTTTATTATTAGATAAGGATAAGGAAAGATTTCCATAATGTTACATTTATTAACTAAAATCTTCCTTTTACGTTTATAAGTTCCGCCCCCTGAGATATGTTTTTCCGCAATCAAATCTATTATAGTGACAGACTATATCTATTATATATGTGATCAACATCAATCAATTTTTATATACACTAGATAATTTTTCATAAAATAATAGAGTATATATAAAAAAAAAAAGACCGTTTTATCAAATTCAAGATTTCAAAGGACTGTAAATATTTTAATCCTATATAATACTTAATAATCCCTTCAGAGCATTCTCTAAGATTGCTTTATCCCATTCAACTTCTTCAAATAAAACCTCCTGTTAGTTATTTGTTTCAAAGAAGAAACAAATAACTAAACAGTGTCCTACGAAATTATCGTAATTTTGAAGCATTACTGGGGAAAAAAAATTCACAGCTGCTGAAGCAACTCGTAAAATTATTAAATATGGAGGGAAAGGTGTCCTTGACCAGCGCACTGGGCGGCGTTCGTTTGAAAAAATTAGCAGTGGAGGTACAACGTTGGAAAGAAAGAAGAGCTGCGGGCGACCATTAATGGATATTGATGAGGTTCTGCTGGAAGCTATTGATTCAAATATGTTCACAGGTGCTCGTGAACTTGCCAGTGAGTGCGGTGTGTCGAAAGACACTGTTAGTCGCTATCTACTCTCCTTTGGGAAGGTGAAAAAGAGCAGTAGACTTGTCCCTCACGATCTACTCCTCAGCAATTAGCTAAGAGGTTAGAAATTTGTGAACATTTATTGAAAAACCCTTCTGATATGAGATTTTACCGGAATATTGTCACCTGTAATGAAAAGTGGGATTACTGGCGAAGTTAGAATACTCGTGACCAACGGCTAGATCGCGGTCAAACTACTTTTCCGGTTGCTGCAAGGGAGCAATTTGAAAAAAAAATCCATGCTTTGCGTCAAACCCAAGAAAAGTTTAAAGAACTTCATGAGTTCGAACTCCTGCCTCATCCATCCTATAGTCCATAGCTTGTACCGTCGGATTAGTACTTATTTGGAGCCATGGCCCATTTTCTTCCCAAGAGAAAACAGTTGATAATTTTGAGGAAGTTGAAATTACGGTCCAAGAGTTCTTTGACAGCCATCCTGAAGAATGGTATCAGCGTGGGATCGAGCTATTTGCTAGCACATGGTTAATGACGGTAGATAGCAATGGACTATACTTTGAGTATTAATTCTATTGTATTTTATATTAAAGAAATAATAATACAAATATTTGGTTGAAAAACTGTCATTTTTTTATTTTTTATTTTTTTTTTATACACCCTAATAACTTTAGTTACCTAATCATCGAACTCCTGTTGTCAATGTTTTAAAATATTTTTTAAGTCAGCATATTACAACTTTTGGCTCAATATGCCTTACTCTGAATCCTTTTGGTATTTTCCTAAATGGACTTTGCGCTTCTAATTGTAAGTAAATTGCATTTGATTTATCCTTACTGATCTACTTAAGCATTACCATAATATCGAACCATTTTGCCAATTTTCAATTAATATTATCAGATTTTTTTTTCTGTTGGCCTTAAGCAACTTGTAGATACCTAGCTGTTGAACCAGCTATATTCACCTTTGCCTATCTTGGAAAAGGTGACCTGATTAACATTGGTAAAGCGGGACATTGACCGAGGGAAGGGGGAGAGAGGATGGTACGAATTTGTTAATCTTGTAAGAAATGTGCTGAATAAAATAGAGAATTTAGTTCTTGAGTCATATTTTGAGAGCGAATAATTTTATGGCATATTTAACGTCTAGTTTATGACTTCAATAATAACACAGTTTTTAAGACTTACATATTTTGTACCAGCAGTTTGATCACAATCAAGCATCTCTTTATAAAAATACCAAAAGCTTACTGAAGGTGACAACATTTCGGTAATCCAAGTAGAAAATGAATCTTTGCTGATGCCAAAGATTTAACCTTTTTCTAATCAATATATTTGTTTAATAATGATACTTAATTAAAAATATCATTTTCGGGTTGTTTATTTTTTTTTTATTTATTTATTTTATTTTATTTTATCTGTCACGTGGACAATAATTATAGTGAGATATGAACACATATACACCATATATACAGAAAATATAAAATTAACAAAAGTAAAATAATAACTAAATTATAATCAATAACTATATACTATAAAAACTATAATAACTTAAATATAAGTAAATTAAAAACATAAAAACTCAGTCACACCTATATACAATCAGGCAGTGAAATCCAAGCCTGGCTTATCCCTCCAACTATATAGTGTAAAGCAGGACTCTATGAGATCCCTGCACTACTCTCTCAACCGTGTCACTGGTGATAAAGCCAATGGAGATTGAGCGAGATCGCTTTGGCCACATACACTCATGTCTTGAGTGGAGAGTCTGGTCATTGCCAGAACATTGTCAAGTAAATTGGAATTTACAAGTGTTATTTATGTCTGTAACATTATTAATTAATAGTTTATTAATAACGCTTACGTGCTAAGAAGTTATTGAAGGAATTCATCCAGATATTGATGTTAGTCTTGTTCCTAGCTTGGTACCACACTATCGAAGAACCTTCCTCTGACCCTTCGGGCATCGGTCGAAACCCCATACCTGCAAACATTCACAGTTAACAAAATTTAAAATTAACATTGCTAATATTTATGATTAATAAAATTTTAACAATTGATCCTCAATTTAAAGTTGTTATCGACACAGACAATAACAATTACTCTAGAGAATAAAATATTTGGGATCAAGCTACAAGGTGTCAACCTACTCAATCATTCAAGCTACTCTCTGGTGGATCCCCCGTACCTTCAGGAACCATTCAGGAGGATACAAAGGTCTCTTTAAACTCTCTTCAATATATTTATGATGAAAGACATCAGAAGCAGCCCAGGTGGAGCTATTTACAACACAACGGTTTGGCATAAGGAACGGCCTATTTAAGCGATGATGAAGAAAGACATCTCAACCATTGGTTCATTGGAGAGTTATGTGATAGTAATTCAATTATTTATATTTAATATAAATATTAAATATTTATGAATGATCGCAACATTAATAAATATATATTTTTTTTTTAAACTGTACCGCTACAACCCATGAAGGGTCTTGGGTTAAGTACTATTTGGGGAAAGTACTGTTTCTTAGTCAACGATTGCAGGAAGGTGATTTGACTGAGATCACGTTCAACCGTCAGGTTTTCTCCCTTAATTAATTATATAATTAAGGATACCCAGTTTATAGAGGCTGGGTGTGCAGCAGGAGGGTCTCCCGACCTCAGGGTCGCCCCACGGCTGATATAACAGAATAAATAACTTTTCTACGTGGCAAGCATCAGTATCCCCTCATTGTAACACTCCTTTAAGGTACTAATTTGGAAGTATCATTTGATGTAATAAACGTTCATTAAATTTGTTATGTTGAACCAGTTCAAGCATAGACTCACATACAACTTAATGGCAGTTAGTTTAATTAAATGTCATCCTATTTGTTCCAATTCTGCCCCCAATAAGGTATTTTCATAAGCCTAATTTTCGACCCTCACCACTTAATTTAGAACTATTAGGGAACTATGTCAGAAAGGCGCAGTTGCATCTCGCTTGTTTAACATCGGGCTGAAGAGAGCTGGGAAGGATTCAGATTTTGTACACAATTCTGATTAAAACTGTTCAAATTTGTTGGCTTTGCTAATTAATGACCTCGATATGATTGGAAGATCCTAGACGACGGCATAAAAAGCGTTCCTGGCAATAGGGTGTGCTGTTACACTTGTTGGTTGAGGAAGGAGATCTAACACTCAGCGCCTTTTTAGTCTCTTTCTCGTATTCATCCAGAGATGCCCATAAGGTGGTTTCGTGGTGCAAGTTAAGCCATCAAAGTTTTTGAGGAGGGCACAATTTGACGGGATTTTGAATTTTTGAGTGGAACGAATTTCGATGGGGTTATGAATTTTCGAAATGAAAAGTTTCGAACCAGGGGACAAGAAGAAATCATAGAACTGACCACTGAAAGTGTAATTGAAGATGACTTGTCATTTTTTAAATTCTACTTTAGTTTGTACTGCTTTTAAGAAGAGGTCAGCAATAAAATATCTTATGAGGAGAAGGAGGGGGGTTCATGCGCCATCCATCTTGGAGGGAGGGGGAAATCGGCACCCCTTTACTCATGAGTATGTCAGCTTTAGCTAGATTAGATTAGATTCCTTATTTGTATTCTTGTAAGTTCGTTTATATTAGTGTGATATTATATAAATCGACGGTAAGCATTCATTATGTATAGGTAAACCATAAGGAATTCTCAATTAGCCAAGGTGCTTTTGTTATGATTCGTATTATTTCTTATTTGAAAAAAATGTAAATTAGTTATTATTACTGTTTTTCATACAATAAAAATTTTCAAATCTTACCTGGATTAGTTCCTATGAGCGAATCCTCTAATATATATCTTGGCATTTTTTCATCGATAGTCATGAGAAGACCTGTCATACATAACCCAAAAAGGATTGCCCCTACTGTGTGAAAGCAAATATACCATATACCCAATTTTCCTGAAAAAAAAAAAATCAATAATGTAATGTTTTGACAAAATATTGATAATAATGAAACAAACAAACTAAAAAAATGTTCTTTTTAATATAGATTATACTATATAATAGGTACTAGATAGAATATATTTTAAAACTACTCACACATATGTCTCTGCGCAATGAGGATATTGATATAGGATGTATCTGTTAGAAAGTAGTAATTAAATGGAGATAATGCGATTTGAATTTTCTTTCGCTTAGTGATCGAGTATTACTTAGTCATCAATTAAATTATTATTTTTCAATAGCTTAAGACAAAAAGTGACGTAAATAAATATTACATCATCAAGCAATTTTATTTAATAGATTCCTAGATCAACCCAATTCTCTCATATTGTGCATTTTCTCACTTTTTAAAATTTAATTTATAAAACTCGAAAACGGAGAAGATGGGTATAAGATAAGATGGTGAATTAAACCTTATTAATAAAAAAAAAATTATATATTTGTTTAAAAAATTCTTTATTTTCCTGTACTTTTACCAAGGTTACCTCCCATTCGGTAGCTGAAGAGATAGATCGTCGGCGTATTCGAGATTTTCTTCAAGCCTCTGTCCTAGGCCCTACTGAATTCCGCGTCTTCAATCCCCAAGCGTAGCTCTCATGATGCTGCCATGAATGACGATGAAGAATGTAGAAGAAATCACACATCCACGCAAGTCTCAATCTTAATCGGGTCCGACAGTAAATTATATGGATGACTCGGCATTTGCATTCGTATTGGAGCTCTTTTAAGGTTTATTATTTTTTTAGGGATGCCATACCTTTCGAAGATTCTCCACATGATATCCTGGTTTAACGAGTCGAAGACTTTCTCAAAATCAATCATCGTTATACATAGTGGGCTTTGCCATTCTACACTCTGTTCCAGGATGATTCTCAATATCATTAGATCGGTGTAGATTCTTATCTCCCTAAAATCTGCCTGTTTCTCTCTTAATTACCTCTGGGTTAGGATTGGAAAGAAGTTCGACGTGACATTTAGGACCATTTGAGAAGTATCCAGTAGCAATGAGCATTTATAAATGTGTTCTTGTGAATTTATAAATGTGTTAAACTGAGTTATACGTTCACTAGAGCTGAAATCACCCGCACAGAAAACAAATTAGGTTGGCAACTATTGAGCGAATGGATCTGCTTTGGGTCTACAGATCGCACAGGACGGTGTTCCATGAGGCTATGCAGGTGTTGGCAGGAGAAATAGCTCTCGACCTCCTTCGGAGAGAAGAATATTACGGGTATAAAATTAGAGGAGACTGCCTAGCGGACCTACCGGAGTACCTCCAAATGATAATATTATAAGATCCTATGATATAGAAGAGGATTCTCCTGGATAATGTAGTAGAAAATTTTAACCGGTGGTGGTTGACAACTTAAAAAGGGGCAACCCTGAGAAAGTACTTTCCTACTGTCGGATCGTGACTAAATGCAGCTTGGGCACTCCCGGACTACTGGATTGCCCAGATTCTCCCAAGGTATGGGCGATTTTAAGCGCTATAATAAAGCTAAAGAGGATTATAAAGTTATTTCAGTGTGGTGCAGACATCAATCCCCTATGTCTAAGTTTTGGAGCACCGGAGACCGCTGAGCATATAGTACTTGCCTATACCAGTAATTGTGACTATAAGTCACTCAGCGCTAAACTGTTGAGAAGAAGCAGGCCTCTATATCCTTACGGAAAAATCAACTAATGGCCAAAGAAACTTTTGTATTTATTTATTTATTTTAAATGATATTTACAACTGTATACAAAAAAATACATCTAGTAAATTTGCACATTGGTATAAAGACATGGAACACATGTTGAGAAACTACCCATTGGTAGCACTCTAATAATATGTCTATATTAGAAGATCACGTGGCCATCTTCTTTTCAGACGCCTCGGAGGGTTATCAGGAATCGAATAGGAAGCAAGGTTAGAGACAAGAGGGTTGGGATGGTTATGAAGTTTATTATGGAAGGACAGATATCTGGATTGGGCCAAATCTGATACATAAGGAACATTAAGGTCATTATGGATAATTTTATTTGTAACAAAGTAAGGAGCATTGAGGATTTTACGAAGGATTTTGGATTGCAAGGACTGTATGCGAGAGGAATTTGAAGGCTTGGTGGAGCCCCATAGCTCAACCCCGTAAGTCCAAATAGGCCTTATTATAGTCATGTAAATCAGTCTTTTATAATTGATTGGAAGGTTAGAGCGTTTGTCTAGTAAGTGTTGAAGTAGTCGGAAAGTCGAGCGGTTTCTTGTCGTTTCAGTCTGGTATGAGGATTCCAAGTTAGACGTTTGTCCAGATGGAGTCCTAGGTAACGGATTTGTTCAACAGGAGTAAGTGAGGTGTTGTTAAAGGATACTGAAGGACAGGAAGTCATTGGTTTACGACGAAGGGTGAAGGTAATTTGATGGGATTTATTGGAATTTATTTTAATTCTCCAGTTCTGACACCATTCTTCAAGGTTTGTGATGTGGGATTGAAGGGTTTGGGATGCAATAGATGGGTCGTTATTGACTGATAGGATACATGTGTCATCAGCATATGTGGTGATGACAGTGTTGGGATGGGTTGGGATGTCAGCTGTATAAACTGTGTAAAGGATAGGACCTAGGATACTACCTTGAGGAACACCTGCAGACTGGGAAAAACGGGATGTATATACATTGTTGTGATTTACTTTAAAGTATCTATCAGTAAGGTAGGAACGGATAATGAGGAAGTAGGTAGATGGTAGGAATTTTCGGAGTTTGTACAGCAGTCCCAGGTGCCAAACTCTATCAAACGCCTGTTCAACATCGAGAAAGGCTCCCGTACAGTACATACCGCGCTCCAATGCAGAGGATACTACGTCTACCACACGATGGCATTGCTGTATAGTGGAATGGGAGGAGCGGAATCCAAATTGGTGATCTGGGATTATGTGATTAGAATCTAGGATTGGGTACAGGCGTTTTAAGATTAGTTTTTCCAGGATTTTTCCCATGATGGGTAACAGAGAGATGGGACGGTAAGAGGATGGAT